AAAGTAAGTAAATGCAGCAATTGGCGAATTTCTTAGGATTCCTATATCCGGAGATTACCGGATTTTGATGTTCAAAATTTAGCTCCAAGGGATTTCTGCAAAAAGTGAGAAATCTCTTTTTTACTCTCTATTAAAATACATTATATAACGGCACTTTTGGAATAAAATTAATATTTGCATTCACAAATATAATTATGCAATGACTGAAAAATGCAACTCTCATATTCTCTACTAACAATATTTTATTCCTTGGTTTTACTTTGGGCAGCAACGTCCTTAGTTTATCTTTATCGTCTGTTTCATTGCTCCCAGTCCTTCAATTCCCGTCTGCTGGCCAGTCCAAAGGTATCCAAGTTGACTACCAAAGCCTAGCAGACAGGGAGCGTTTTGTTTACGTTATTCGGTTATTTTTAGTGAGATGTGACCAGCAAGATGCAACATTTCGCGTTCCTTAATTTGAATATTGACAATGCAGCACACAAATATTGAACATAAACGGTAAATAAACATGGACAGATTATGCCACTGGCCCAATGTCTATACTAATAGCTGTAACAACTGGTTTGCTTGTTTTTGACAGTACCATTTAAATATTAATAATAACGGGTTTACTTTCAAGCAAGTGACATAATTTTGTTTATGTTAATGACTCAAACCGTTTCTGTTACAATATTTTTGCTGTGTAGGTACAGTATACAATTTTGCTAGCCCGTTAATTTTCATCCACTATAGTATGGGGGCCGCCAGCTAAAATCTCCTCTTTTTCACAAATTACCAACATGGCAACCCTAAACTTTCTGTGCTATAATCAGTGCAAGGAAGCCCACTTGTCAGGTGACTGTAGGAAAACATATTTACTTTCAATACTACCGCCTTCAGACGAAATATCGCTGAACGGTGCACTGCAGAAAATAGATAGTTTTTTTTGCCGCACCCTATATTAAAAATTTTACTGTCTTTTAAAAAAGGTTATTACAACAAATCTCGTATCTACAATATAAATTAGGTTATTTTAAAATTTATACTTTAAACTCAAAATAGCGTTAAATTGGCCATAAAAAAATTAAAACAATAAATAGTATTGTTTGTTGAGAGTATTTTGTGTTTAACACACTAAACGGTAATTATAAAAAAATATTACAAAATTTTTTGAGGTCTCCGAGGATTTACGGTGTAGTGGGTGACGCCACTGAGTGAACGGACATCGAAAAGTTATCAGTGTCAAGAACAGACTTGAAGAACTTGAGCATGCACTAAAAGTTAAAGTTTATGCATTTTGACTTTTGATTGTTGTTTGGTACATCTTAAACTTAACTGTAACTTTGGACTAGGTTATGATTTTCATAATATACAGACAACCTTAACAGAGAACCAACATAATGAGCACTCTGCTATCAGCTATTGACGTTTGTCGCACATTTTCCGGTTCCAAATAAAATTTACATACAGATACAATTCATGGATACAAAAACCAGGTTGGTTATCAACATTCTCAAACTATTCCAGGTTTTCCCTGGTCAGCTTGACACCCTGGATTAACACTGTTAATAGCTATTTACATTACAAGTGTAGTAAGAGCGTTTTTACATCACGCAGGTGAACATTGTGCAACGAGCGGAAACAGTTGCATCAGTCACCTAAGTGATGTAAACACGCTCTTGTGTAACGTACAAGATTTTACCTGACCTGACAATAGACAGGGGGTTACGTACAATATTTTACATTATCCATTTCACTCATCTTCTAACAGTAACTATCTTTTACAAACAAAAGCTAGGTTAGGAAAATACTTTAAAGCATAACAATAACATTCAAGCGCACAGCTGATTTCTAGCGTTGAACGTCGTTGGCTCCATAGAGGTATATTTTTTAAGTTAAGCAATGTTATTTAAATGGGTTTCATTACCTCGCCGAGTGAGTTTTTTCAACTTTACATCACTCCTGAAGTAAGGAAGTTGTATACATCACGCTTGGGATAGGGAAGTTTAACATGGCGGGTTAGGTAAACAATATTACACTACTAACTTTTAGTTTAAAAAAATCATACGACTAACACCCTCAAATAGATCTATCAAAGAATTTAAAACCTTAAAATAAATCCATAAAAAATAAATATTATAAAGATTCTGATTGTTAAAGGATACAAACTAACATCCCTGGAAAATTAAAGCTTTAAAATTATTAATGTTCTGTAGTAAAATTATCAGTAATGAAAAAAAACCACTACATACATGCCACAAATAAAACAAAATGTTTATAACCAATTACTTAAGGAACATTATTAATTATATTTTAACCAAACAGAGCATAAAGCTAATTAGAAAAATACTATGATTTAAAAGTCATTCAAGCCGACACAATTCCACAACTTTTTATCTTATAACATTGATTATGATTTTGATAAGTTCATTCAAAACTGAGGTTGTTTTACTTAAGGCACAACCAGATGGTAGCAATGGAGCAAACAGATCACCACTAACACTGACAAAACAAGTAAATTATCTTCTGAAACTGCAATAGGTATTATTAATACTAACTTATACTGGAATAACGTACAATATAGTGTCATATTGATATTTATTTGAGACAAATAAATATTGACAATTAATATTGTTGATAATTTTTTCTTTAGTGTGAGGAGTCAATTTCTCCCAGTTATGGTTTTGTTTCCGTAATAAACATTTTAATAATACCTTTATTTTTTTAACCTTGACCAGGCAACTAAAAAGGTTTGTGTTAGGGTTTTGAGATTTGGAATTTGATTTTTTCAAGTTTTGGTTTTTGGTTTTGAGATTAGAAATATAAATTCCTGGTTTTGACCATCACTAGAGCAGTGCTAGCACATGAAAGGTTAAACGTCCAAATTAGGTAAAACGTTAGGTTAAACTTAGGTTAAATTAGGTTAAACAAGTGTCAATATAGGTAACTTAAAGGAAAGTGAAATCACACTATTACACTCCAAAAACCATCTCTTAAATTCAAAATGGTTGTTGATTTAAAAAAATAATAATTTGGTGAGTTTGTGGCTCAGTCAGCACTGATGCAAGATAGGTCTTGTCATTTGACTATTTGGTTGGATACTATCTATTACAGTATCAATTCTTTGAGACAGCTCTGCACACTTGGGAGAATATATAACCTAAACAAGAGTGAAGGATGAGTGTGGAGTGAGATTATCTTTGTAGCTTTGTTACTAAGACCAGCTGTCATTGATCAGGATCAATTTTTTAAAAGTGAAATCATAGACTAACCAAAACAAGTAGATATCTCATACCATTGTAAATTTTGAAGCTCGTTTTTCGTGTCTAGTTCATGTCCGGTGACACTGATTGCTAGTGTCGATGAAATTTTGTTTCTATTATTTTAGGGTTAATTTCATGATTTGTGCTTACTGTTTGGTTGTATAACTAGGAGACAAGTTAATGTTTAGGATTAGATTGTTTTATTTGGTTAAACAAGGTTTTATTCAATAATTACTGAAACAACAAGAAACAAATTGTAAACAAAACAAGACCTCTCAGGGTGTCTAGTTTATTTCCATTATAAAATTCAAGACTAATTCCAGACTTTTCAAGACTAATTCCAAATTTTTCAAGACTAGTATTTCAACAATTAGTGGGTGTTGATACCAAAACGTATCGATTCTCAATTCTTGATACTGATACCAATTTTTATAGCTTAACCAAATTTTCTAAATAATACTACACCAACCCCTGTCTTTGTCATAAAGTAGTATTATGATAATGTTGTGTTTTCAAGTAAAGAAATAATGCAGCAATAAAAAATTCTAACTAGCAAATTTGTTTTTTTTTTATCATGAAATCTTCCACGTACCGTACGTTTAGACATCATCATTGACTGCAGCGGTTACAGAAACGTGATCGTCGTCGTCCTCGATCAAGGCAAAATCATGAATATTTCCCGCGGCCTTGTAGACATCAATGACATCATTGTCATCTCCCGCGGTCACGGAAACGTCATCGTCGTCTCCCGCGGTCACGGAAACATCATCGTCATCTCCCGCGGTCACGGAAACGTCATCGTCATCTCCCACGGTCACGGAAACGTCATCGTCATCACCCGCGGTCACGGAAACGTCATCGTCGTCTACCGCGGTCACGGAAACATCATCGTCATCTCCCGCGGTCACGGAAACGTCATCGTCATCTCCTGCGGTCACGGAAACGTCATCGTTGACTCTCGTGGTCACGGAAACGTTATCGTCGTCCCCAGCGGTCACGGAAACGTAATCGTCGTCGTCCGCGATCGCGATAAAATCATGAACAATTCCCGCGGCCGTGTAGACATCATCATTGACTCCCACGGCCACGGAAACGTCATCGGCGTCTCCCGCGGTCACGGAAACGTCATCGTCATCTCCTGCGGTCACGGAAACGTCATCGTTGACTCTCGTGGTCACGGAAACGTTATCGTCGTCTCCCGCGGTCACGGAAACGTTATCGTCGTCCCCAGCGGTCACGGAAACGTAATCGTCGTCGTTCGCGATCGCGATAAAATCATGAACAATTCCCGCGACCGAGCAGATATCATCGTCGTCTCCCGCGGTCACGGAAACGTCATCGTTGTCTCCCGCGGTCACGGAAACGTCATCGTTGTCTCCCGCGGTCACGGAAACGTCATCGTTGTCTCCCGCGGTCACGGAAACGTCATCGTCGTCTCCCGCGGTCACGGAAACGTCATCGTCATCTCCCGCGGTCACGGAAACGTCATCGTCGTCGTCCACTATCGTGCCAAAATCGTGAACATTTCCCGAAGCCGTGTAGACATCATCATCGGCTTTTGCGGTTACGTAAACGCAAGACAACGATCGCGGCAAAATCATGAAAATTCCCGACTTTGAAATCAAATTTAAGACTAAATCCCGACTTTTCAAGACCATTTTGAAATTCAATACTAATTCCCGACTTTCCCGACTACTAGACACCCTGCCTCTATTTATAGTATACCGGCGGACAGAACTAACAATAACATTGGCTTCAGCTGTTCCATAAGGATGAGAAATCTAGTATGGTAGTATGTTTTGTTTTATTCGTGGTGAAATCAAGGATAACTAGGCCCAGTTTCGAACCATCAAAAACCTACTGACATTACTCAGAATGAATACTTATATAATTGTGCAGAAATGCAGAAACCAAACTCACTTAAATACTTTCAGCCCATTCTTCCTTTCATTTTCTTTATTATCATTCCACTACATTTTAGAAATGTTAAAACATGTAACTCATTTTAAGTTACACAAAAATTATGAAACTAAGCCTTATTATTAGCATGTACAGGCCTATTTACAATAGAATATCACAGATACAAGTTCCAGCGCAGTTTTGGAGGTTTGAAGGTCTATGCTTTATCTTTGCAACTGCGGACAGTTCTGCTTGATGATGTTCCTTGCAATATCAGTATGACCTGTACAACAAGAAAGAGATGTTTAAAACAATTGACATGACAAATAAGTCTACTACTTAAAACTTTATTTTAAATCAAGCAATGGCAAGCCTGAACTACAGATAGTACTAGACCTTGTATTGTAAATTATTTTGATGAAGGTGTATTGTCACTGGTGCGGCTGGAACTGCAGTTGTTGGACATTTATCGCTCGGCAATAATTGTTGCATTAGGCATTGTCACTGGTGCGATTATTACACAATAATCGTATGGTTGCTTCTTGACTGGTTGCCGAGTTAAAGTAGTGATAGTAATTGATGAGTTTAATGAAAAAAAAAAAACAAAAACGATTCAGTTATGTTTTTAGTTGAAGATCTAGAAGTTTAAGAAATCTTGGAAATGATAAGTGTTCCACGACATGCACACATGGTGTAATTACAAAATGAACAGAAGAGGCGTACTTCAGAATATTAAGAAACAATCAATTGAATTTTTTCCGAGTTCTTCAGACTTTCAAAATGTCAGTTTAAGTTTTAATCTTAGACAATAGACAATAGACAATAGACAATTTTCTTTATTTGTGATTTCTTTAAGAAATACAATGGCGTCAGAAAGATTCAGAATGTTTAACATTTAGCCTAATCTTGTTTGATCAATGAGGATCTTAAGAAGACTTCTTCAAACTACATTCCCTATCCATTTACAGGAGATGAGAAGTTAGATCTTACGTTAAGGCAGGATAGTTTATTTATACTCGTTACATTTTTGACTATGCTAATAAACTATTTGAATGCTACAGTAATTTTTTTTTCAGAAGAAAACACGTTCAAAACAGAAATATATTAATTCCCCAGTTGCAGCAAACCTGCGTACTCAGGGAGTTTCCAATGCATTTATGTGTGTCTTAATGCCACATAAAACCACTTACAATTTTACCAAGTATCATAAAAATGCATGAACAATTAAGCGATATACAGCATAAAATTTTAACTACCCTCCATAAGAATAACATTGTGGCTAAGTACACAGGTTTACTGCAACAAGGATCACAAATTAATGGCTTTTTATGAAAATATCATCAATAGATTTAGCACTTTTAATATCTAAATAACAAATTGACGTAAAGCAATAATTCAAAGCACTAAATTGTTTTTTTTTTAGGTTTAAACCGTGGTAAAAACTATAACTTGACTTATACAAAGTTCATACAGTATATATAAAAAATAAAACATTTTATTGTATTGTATTTTGTTGCACGTGAAGAGTTAACTAACTAATAACTGAGATAAGTGATTGGCCTACAAACATTTTTTTAATAATCAGCATCCCAAAAACTTATTCTAAATATTTAATTATTCTATTTTCTTCATGTTTTTATGATTGGCATAGATTTTTTAATTATTCTGATATATTGGGGTATTACAAAAACAAATATTTTAGAGTTATGATGTTATGATACATTTTGATCACACGCTAAACTGTAATCACACTTTCTTTACTCCACCCTTATTTCATTTTTCTGTTTGCAAACCATTGGAATTTTCTCACGATAGTAAGAGAGTCCAATCCCTGGGATTGATACATATATGTAGACTGTTCTAAGATATCTTAATGACAAATTGCATCTGTGTCCACATGGTTTTTTTTCATAAACTGTAAAACAGTAGAATCCTTATGCAGTAGCCTATCTTAATAATTCACTCACACTTACCTAGCAGCAACTCTATGTACAGGGCCAGTGCTATAACATGAATAGGGACATCACAGTTTGGTCCTTTGGACTTCCAAACCTGGAATAAAAAACAAAAATCACACTTCTATGATTTACATACACTACTGAGCAAAAAAGTACCAAAAACGTTCAGAAATAATAAAACATTTTTAATGCCAACACATTAATTTGAAAAGCCACCCATTCTTCCCTTTAAGTCACCAACTCTGATCAGTTTCCTCCCTTAACCTATATTTTTGAGGGACCTGTTTCAACTTCACGTCACCTATTAAACTTTGTTAACTAAACTCATTTCAATAAACCAACATTTCAATAAACCAACCGTGACCGTGAGTCTCAAGTTTCTATAGGTACCTGTATATTGTTACCCATTTTTTTGGTTTTTATAGATCAGTACCACAAACGGTAAAAATTGATTTTGTATGTATTTTTTTGGTAACTGCAATACTCAAGACTTTCTTTTTATGCACAGAAAAAATCCCGTCCCGTCCCGTCCCGAACTAAAAATTCAATCCCGTCCATCCCTACTAACCTGTTTGAGCATGTCGCCAGCCTTATCCAGCTCTCCCCGCAGTGCTAGGGCCACAGCCAGGTTGTACTGAAGGACAGCTCGGCCAGTAGCTGTTGTGGCTGGGAACCACGGCCTCAGTGGCCGAACTCTGGGATCCACCAGTTCGGCCATCTGCTCCGGGTTCAACAACTCTATAGCTGCTGGTATCTTGTCTAGCAGTACGTATGCCTCACCTGCATACAGCCTGGCTAGCAGCCTAAGGACAGAATGGTGTGTGATTATGTAATCTAATAGTATGCAATATCTTGGCTTAAGATCTAATATATACAATTTTCAAAATTTTTCAGGAGCGTAGTCAGAAAAATTAATTTTAGTCAAAATTTTGAAATAATTGAATTTTGGGATTTAAAAGATTCAAAGTCTGTCGGACGGTTTTTCAGGTTATGTGCACAAGGAGATTCTGTTGACATACTCCAGTTGATAGAATGTGCTACTATTGTTGTTCTATGAAAGTTAATGACAAAGTGCTACAGTTAACAATTATTTAATTTTTATTCAGCATTGCCTCCAGGATTGATTTAAGACAATATAAAATAGGTTACGTACCTTTACGTCGTCAATCCTAGGTTAGTCTTTTTAGCAGCGACTAGTTTCGAAACTGACGTTTCATTTTCAAGCCTTGTCAAATATAAAATTACTTGAACATAATGTCGTCGTCAAAGTACACAAATATAACATTTAACACGCACAAATACATTAAGATACAGAAAGACGCGCGGCCGGCCATTACACGCACGACGGACACGACTCAACTACCAAAGTATCATCAGTATTTTATATGACAAAAACCTTGAGGTACATTCTTTCACCAAATTTAGTTGAACTCACTTGTTGTAAACTTACTTGTGTGCACCTGAGAGGTTGGGTTGGGCCAGTAGAGCTTTGGAGTGTTCCAGACAGATGACAGGGTCTCCTAGACACAGAGCTACGTAGGCGCTAGCAGCCAACACACAGGCACGCAGTACTGGCACCTGTCGGGGGTCTACCGGTGGGGATGGAGGTGCTGGCACCTGCAACACAAGCCAGTTTTTAAAATTTAATTGAAACTACTAAAATTTGTTGAGCTATACTAAAAATTGGACCCAACCTCTCACAATCATGGTGCTAACCACTTCGCTATCAACACAACCACCTGAACATCTAACAGTTAAGATAACTAGAATTTCCTTTACTGATAAAATATAAAATATATAATTATTGCCATTCAATCATACTAAGGCATTTTCTCCAAAGCTAGGAGATATAAAGATGCTTAATGGTGCCACCACTTCTACTATGCAACTAAATAAATCAACATTAGGTTACAGGTTTTCACTAATAATGATTTGATTTTTATTATTTATTTAACATTTTTTGTACCAAAACCCGTTTCTGGCCAAAATCAATTCTCAGTTTTTCTTGCCGGTAGGCCTACAATGGGTACCAACTAAATATTCTCAAAAAGTATGTTGAAAACTAGGGAGGGGGTTTACCGGTTTTTAGCAGAAAACAAAAGCTGAGAATTGATGGAAATATTGGTTTTGGTTTATGCGTGACACGATTGCAATGTTTTTGTTATTGCGGGATACATTGCTAATTGACTTCAAGGTTGCGGTGGATGTTCAAGATTTTGCTGCGATTGCAGGCAACAATTATGACGTCTTTGGGTTTGTTTAAAATATTTTCAAGATTTTACAGAGATCCTTAAAGGTGATGACGTCTTCTATATCACAAGGGACGAATATGATTTTTTTATGATTGCAAAAGAAGACAATGATGTCTTCAAGATTTTTCTGCAATCACAAATAATATTCACCGTAATACAGGGTGATTATAAAATAAATGAACAATTACAGCTATTTAAATTACAAGGAGGATGGAACCTACATTTTCCCACGAGTGTCTACCAAATAGCCTGTTTCTACCTAAACTGACTGAAATGCAGCAATATACGGTCAGCTTACAATAATTTTAAATATAAAAAATAATCCATTCACTCACCGGAGGTCCCCCCTCTCCGCCAGTGGAAGGTAGCAGTAGTAGTGCATTGCGTAGACACAGTGAAGAGAACTCTAGACTGACCACAGGAATGGCGTAGGACTCACACCTCGGCTCACAACTGCACAACAAAACATATCACTATTACCTATTATAGCTCGGCCGCTTAGAAAACGACCTGCGCGCTAATGGTAAACCAATGCTGGAGGAGGTCGTTTTCTAAGCGGCCGAACTATACTAACAATGCTTCAAATATTACTTTTGCAGACCCTAAATGCTGGTCCCTTAAAAAGCCATTGCTATTGTTTTTACTTACCTATATTTTGAGTCTTTCCAAATATTTGGGTTTAAAATAATTTTTCTATGAACGCCACTACCAATCACCCCTTGAACAAGGTCGTTTCTTCTTGCTTTGAAATCAAAATCACCAGCATTGCTCTGAAAACAGACAACTAAAATTAACAAGTGTAAGTTAAATAAAACAGTAAAAAGTTTTTTTTTTATTGAACGTATGTGTCTATGTAACTAGTGGCTTAAAAAAATTTAAAAATACAAAAAAACTCCCAAAAAATGAATTTTTTTAAGAATGTTTAATTTTTATCTCAGGGAAATAAACAATTTGACTTCACAGGAAAGGCTCAAACACATTTGGTATATTTTGACTGTTTATGGGATTATAATTAACAAATAAAATGACAACACCAGCAACTTAAAACAATTACAATATAAAAGTGATGTGGATTTTTTTTATCGATCATGTAGCAGTCAACTTTCAGTAATTGTTTCAAAAGTGACTTTTTTAAGTTTTGATAGTACCTGTACTGTCCTTATAATTTTGTTTTGCCTAATGTGGTGTTCGTAACAGTGCTTTAGCCAGTTAAAACATTTTCTGGTGATGGGAACTTAAATGAGATTCTAACTAGCCAGAGCAACGCTTTCCAAAATGAGGATTTCTGATTACAACACTAGGGAGTAACTTTCATAATTAATTACAACAACAAACTAAATTTTAGAGATGTTTTGATACCAAAGTTTATCGAATCTAAATACGATTCTGATACATTAAAATTGAAAATTCAATCCTTGAAACCGATACTTTTTTTTATTTTACAAATTTTTCAATATGCATTGGTTATATTACACCAACTCCTGTCTTTATGTCCTTACAAAGTAATTTTAGGGTAATGGTGACTTTTTGAAATAAAGGAAAAGTTTTAATTCTAAACTAGGCGATGCAAAAATTTAAATCTTTATAAGCCCATGAAATACTATATTAAAAGTAAATTGAAGATTTAACAAACAAGTATCAAAAAGACAATTTTGCTATTACTAGAATTGTGTTGGCCTGAGATTTTTGATCAACCTGAGCTTGATGTAATATCATGATCAATTCTTGGTCAGAGACATCATCACTGTCTTCCACGGTTGCAGAAAAATCCTGAATATTGCTTAGCTGTAACATCATTATTGTCTTCTGTGATCTTGGCCAAATCCTGAATATCTCTCCTTGTCGTATCATTATCGTCTTCCACGATCACAGCAAATGCCTGAATATTCCCAGTGGCAACAGCAACTTCACTTTTTGTGATAACAGCAAAATTCTGAACATCTCTCGCGGTCGTTGTAATAAGGTCGTGTAGACATTATTATCCTCTCCCCCAGTTGTGGCAAAACTACAAATTTGTTCTCAACCGTGTAGGGCATTGGTATCAGCATCGATTCCAATTCGCAAAACATATATATTAGTGTAACTTGATATTGGTGGTATCATGAACCGACACATCCCTACAAAAATTATATTTTTAGATAATATTTTTTACCTCTTTATGAGCCATAATGCAGCACTCTGCTAGTCTCAACCATAACCTCGGATTTGTATGATACACCTGAAAAGAATATGAATTTACAACTGAAAATACTTATTAATGAGGACCTTACATGTCAGCAATTCTGCTTGAAACTATTAAATAAATTGTTTAGAACACCATTCAATTGATTGATATAAAAAACTGGAAAGTGATAATTGAGCGGAGCTCATTGAGATTGGGCATATATATACTATCTCCAATATAATATATGTATATTATTCAACAGTATAAGTAAGAAGTATGTACCGAACAAAAGTATACTCCATTGATGTCCACTGATGTAGTTGGCAAAAGATTTATTTTAGTAATAAAAAAGACAAATTATACTCTTGAATTGAGTTCATTGTAGTAAATCTAAAAACAATTCCTTCCACAAAATCACATTTTAATTGAGCTTGAAGTCGTTTTATTTACGTTTTGTCAACATTAGCTATACTAGTTGCCAAGTTGGTTAGCCTACAAAAAACCACAACAAAAATGTACACTTGCTTACACTAACCCTTCCTTTCACACAAACTCCATCAAAGTTTCCCGCAAACAAAGAATATTGAAAAAAGTATTATAAGTTTAAAATTGTTGGATTTAAGTTGTTCAAAGGGTTATTGTGGGAATTTTTCATCACTGATGATTTAGCAAAACCAAAACACAACTTTCACAAATATTAAACACTGGAATCTGTTGCATCTACACTACAGATTAGGAACCTAGAACTTGACAAGATTATTACAAAATCTGGGCAACATCTGAAAACTCAATAATTGAAAAGAACATTTTTAGACTTAAAGGTAGTTGTGGTGTATAATTCAAGGGTTGTCTGTGAACAGGTCTTTATCAAGTTTCTGTTGCAGCCAAATGAGCTAGTTAAACCTCAGACCAAAGTCTCCTTTATTTCATCCACTACTATTCTCGTTGGTTACCACTTTAATAGGATTATTAGTAACGCCATACAAACCTAACCATACAAAAATGTTGTGAAAGAAAAAGACTCTTCTGCCAAGTATGAATTGTGTTCTGTGATTAGATTTCTGTGTTCAGTTTTGTTTGGACGTAAATGCGCTAAAAATTACCACAAGTGCGTAAGGGGTTCAGAGGTCGTAAAAATTTACACAATATTTTACACGATGAAGGCTGTCTGTGTTTTTTCACCAGTCTTGTTTGAGGCAGCAACCAAATTTAGAGAAATGTTGTCTGCAGATAGCTAAGTGACTTAACAAGAGAAATGGCCTAATAGGGGATGTCTCCTAAGCTGTTAAGGACTTTTGGTAAACCCTGGTAGTCTAAAACACTCCTATCACCCAGCAAAGTTTCCTTGAATTTAATCACTCTCCAGGTGGAAACTCATGAACTCCCCTTGCAAAATGCCTTCTGTTAGTACTCTAAACCACTAATGCACATTTTAAAAGTCAAAACACATTTATGCAGTGGCAACGGATATAACAGGGGTTGACCTCCTTCCTACAGAAACCTAATCACAGAACGTGATTCATAATTGGCGGGAGGGTTGAATTTCTTGCACAAAGTTTTTGTTTATTATGAAGAGATTAATAGTCCCATAGAGGTTTGTAAACAGGCTAAAACAGTAGTGGACAATGAAAAGAACATGAGATTTGTCTCAGATTTGAACATGAAGCAAATCTGCTTCATGTAGATAGTAGCTTCTTTGTACACGCTTGATACACACAGCATTGTCAAATTCTACTATTCACGAAGTATAAGCAATATAAAAAAGTTAACACACTAACATCCAAACAACCAAATCTTGGAATTTCTCCATCCATCTAATGCTACAACAAAAATAAAATAAATACTAACAAAAATACAAAGATGGTTAAAATGTCTGCAAACTTACTAATGTGCGTGAAATAAAAAATACATTTTTTCCAACCACCCAATCCCAAGTACGGTATCCCAGTATCAGTATCCAGTATACCAGTGGGGTATACTGCAATCCCATACCTGTACAGCTTCTATAAGACAGTCAAAAGCCTGCGTAGGTTTCCCGCCGTGCAGCAGTGCAACGCCCAGGTTGTACATCAGGATCGGGGATTTGTTGGATCCGACGCAATACAGAGGTCGTCCTGATAGCGGTTCGCCTGCAGACATGGTTATAATATGTACCATAGGAAGGGATGTGTCGGTACCTGAAGGTGATTCTCCGTTGCTTAATTAACTTAAAGGTATAGTTAAAACCTTCAAAGTTTTTTTATTTAACTAGTTATCATCGGTACGTATGGTACCAGTACCAATAACTGAGAGTCGATTTTCGGTCAGGAACTAACTGGTAACAACTTTGAAAAAAAAAATGGTACCGACACATCAGCTACAGTAAAAATTTAACTAACTCGACAACTGTGGACCCAGAGGTTGTCAAGTTTGGAGGTAGTCGAGTTATCCAGATCATTGAAGTTTTTAATAGGCTTTAGGCTTTCTTTTAATAAAATAATAAATACCGATAGACTAATTTTGTTACACAAAAATTTACTACTTACATGAGTAAAAAATATATAAAGATATGTGGAATATGCAACAATTAAGGCCCGGTTCACACAAGCGACTTATCTAGCCGACTAGGCTATGATTAGGTAAGCCCGACTGGGTAGCGGACCACAGGATCAAATGGAGCCGTTCACACGAGCTTAGGGCGACGACTAGCTAGCCGCGTTTGAGCTTGGTGTTCCAAAACATAGTCTGGCCCCCCTTCCCAGTCACTCATGGCAACTACCCAGTCACCCGCTCTAGCGGCTTAGCAGTACACGTAGCCTTATGGGAGCGTTCACACGAGCGATCGGGTAGTCGCGCTGCAGCTTGCATTCTTCCCTTTGTTCTCATTGTGCACCAGTGATGGATCCGAGTGGTTTTGATATCAATATTTTCATCTAGTCCGTGGACATGTCGCTCGTGTGAACCGGTGTATCCTGTGGTCCAAGAGACAGTACCAAGGGTTTGAATCTAGAATCACTGAGCTCTATAAAATAGACCTGAATCCATGGTAGAGTACACTCCCTCTTATCCAGAAACCTTTTAACCGGAGTGGGTGGTAGTCAAAAAACTTTTCTTGTAGGAATGATTTGAGACCAGTGATCATATGTCTAAATACGATGCTCACCCGAATAATATTTGGGCCAGATTTTGAGTGACGTCAAGTTTAAGGGGACGTAGGTTTAGCCGAAAAACCTGTGTTCTGTACAAGTCTTGGTCCTGATAAGTCCAGATAAGATTCTAATGTATTTTAAAACATACATTAAATGCGTTTTAGAAATCAAAGAAGATATGAAAGTGTAATATTTGAAGATTTAAAGAGTAAAACAAACATATTAAAAATATCTAATCTCTATATTTTATGATTAGTTTTGGAGCATATTCCTGCATTTTAAAATCTTATAAAATCCTTAAAAACACATATTGTCACAAGAAACATGTTAAAATATTGATTTTAGAACATTTTAAACATAGGCCAGTCACCTAAAACAATTGGTTCACACTGAACCAAACACTGAACCAAATCCACAGAAAGTTACGACTCTATCCTATTTTTGAAGAAAATGGAGCAAAAGTGCTCTAAAACTAGTACTGTAATTCAATATTAGACATCGAAGAGAATGGTGGGCCTGTATAGCCATTTTTTCAACCCTGAGGAAATAATAAAGGAAGTATAAGTTATTTATTAGCATTGTACCTTGATCTGGTTTGGGATACGCTTTCATTGCAGCCTCATTTTCCTGCAGTGCCTTCTGCAGATAGAATGCAGAAAGATTAGGTTTTGCCATGTAATGGTGAAGACAGCCCATGTTGTTGTAGAATAATAAAGACGGTGACTCCCCTGACTCTCTTAACACAAAAATAAACATCTATAAATAATCTTGTTGTGCTAAAGTATTTTTTATTGTTTAATTTAAACTTTTAAAACAAGATCGTAAAGTTAACCTTGATTTACATACAAAATTAACTGTGTTTACTTTCAGTAAGCATTCAGTTCTATAGCTTATAGAGGAAGACACAGAGATATGATAAAAGATCAAATACTTTTACTACTGAAAATCTATTAATATCCATGAAAATGAAAATCCAAGTGAGAATGTATCAGCTCAGTGGAGATGACACTCAGACGAGTTGGCCGATTAACAGGTCCTCGCAAGGCAAACCCACATGAGGCTACAGGGAGCTAGATTTGGCTTAGTAATGAGGCATTTGACTTTTCTGCAACTTGTTTAAGTTTTTAACAATGCTATGTTTCTGTGATTGCAGGAGTCGATGATGATGTCCCTGCGAGTTAGGGAGATGTTCAATATTTTGCCACAATCATGGAAGATGATAATAATTTTTCCGTTATCACAGGTAGATGTCCTAGTTTTGGCTGTGATTGTGTTTTGGTAGTTTTTAGTAGTTGGGCTGTGATTGTGGCTGGGAATGACCATAAAATTTCCGTGATCACAGGAAACGGTGATGATATCCGCGATTGCGGAAAATGATGATGATATTTCCGTGACCATGAACAAGATAAACAAGAGTGTTTTGAGAATAAACAAGATTTGGCCACGATTGTGGAAGATGGTTATGATATTGTTCCACACAGCCATGATAAATGGCCACAATATTATCTTGATAACATTGTCCCCAATATGCGATGGCATGGTCGGATTAAGCGAGAAGTCGGACTAGTCGAGGTGGGGTTGTACTATAACTATATTTAATTTTGAGTATAGATATAGGATCTAATCTTGACTCGACTATATATCATAAAATTGACTTAGTTAACTTAGTAAAGTATTTCACACAATATAGACTAAGCTTGAAAAACTTTTCAACTCAAAACACAGCTTACCTATACACTTCAAACTAGTTTACAGTAGTCTAAAAATACTTACTTGAAAATATTTACTGAATTGGTCAATGGTATTGATGATAAAACTTTAATTGATTTATTATAATTTCCTCTTATATATTCTAAATTTCCTTTTAAGAAAACTGGGGCCAGGTTCTGAAACAAGAATTATAGAAGTTATAGAAATTATTAATTAGCATAGTAACATAAAAAGAAAAAACCTTTATAATAAAATTTATTTAAATTATAACAACTTTTAATTAAATCTTCATGAACATTTTTGAAAAAAATATGTTTTTAATTTATGTACATTTAATTTAGGATTTCCTTGTGATAGGATTTTGTCACTATTGCAAGTGACAACGATGATGTCTCCACGATTGCAAGAGATTACCTATCACAGTTCTACGGTGGGTGAACCCCCGAGCTATCTGGAGGCTTACCCCCAGTTACTTTGGGTGATGTTACTCAGTGGACAAACTAAACACTCGCTTACAAAACCCACTTTATTCGTTAGCCCACAAAACATACAAAGAACACAATGATTAATTAATAGCAACCAAAAGTTAGAGAGGACTGGAACAGTGTTAATAATTTAGTACCAAAACAAAACCTCAACCCGGAAAAAGAGCCTAAATTTCAATTTTGAAACTCCAATTTGAAGACTGTCTACCTAGACTATCTTACCGGGACCCTTCTACCCCAGTGGGACCCTGTCTTATAACTCACTACACGACCACTACACACAAACTCTCCCCCCCTATCAAGCCACAGCCTTCTGTAGGTCAGCACAACAAAATGATTTAACAACAATTTAATCCTGCTCACACAACATTGCCAAAAAATTCTCTACAATATTTTTGACCTCTCCTATTACAGTTATTGCAAGAGATGATGACATCTCTGTGATCACATAAGATTAAAAATCCTACATAAAGAAAAATTTAATCCCATTGCAAACTAAAAGTATTACTCCGACCAAAAAACACTAAACATAAAAACAAACCACGTCAATTAAACGTATACGTAAGATTGAAATAACACAATTTTAATATATTTACTTACCGAGGTCACAGCGTTGTTCGCTGTTACGATGCTTTTAAGCTCTCTCTTGCAAGCTTTGATGGCACAGGTGCTAAGGTAACATCTGGTTTTATATTGTAATAGCTTCAGTCTGAAAGCGTCAGTCGCTGCGTCCAAAGTCACAGGCTGAAAATAAAGCCAAGTACTCAGGGATTAGGGAACCAAAATTTGAAGCAACACTTGGTCAGAATATAATCAAATAATCCTAGCTATCTAACCAAAGGTCGGCGTTAGGTAGTAAAAAAATCAAGGTTTGGACAGTTTCCTTAAAAAAGTTTGAAATTTGAAATAAATACAACATTTAGGTAAATTAAGACCAATAAATTCTGTTCCTCACTCAACATATAAAACTCACTGCCTTCTCTTGATGTTCTTTCTCCAGCGTCTTGAGGTCCTTGTCGCCAATCATCTTGGTGGCGTTCTCCGTGGACACAAACTGGTTCTCAATGTAAGCTATCAGCGAGAGCGCCTGGTCAGGCTGCTGTGTACTGAGGTGGAGCTCTATCAGCAACAGACAAACTCTATGGGCCAGTCCCTCCTCTGTAACCAACATTATAACAAGTTTTAGAAAATTAACAGTTAGAAAAGAACAATTCAAATTGGTAATAAGTTATAAGTTAATTTCATTTTCAAGAGTTGTTAGCCTCCGGATTACATTTGAATATTTATAATCGTTTAAATACCTGCATTCAGTAATCAAAAATGCTGCTTGTGGCATCTATAGTTTCAGTTCAGTTAGGAACCATCTTCAGGCCGTAAAAGGTGTCATTATTTACCTCCGTATAAGGTCGTCATTTAAAATATAATTAGGCCTACATAAAACACACACGAGCATGCACATTGATTGACGAACATTTAACATTTAAAAAACCGAGTAGGCCTACTCGGCGACACAAGACAGGTGATGCGACCGGGCGGAAGTTGTAGCTCGAACTAAACAGAGGTACGTTCAATTTCTACTTGTGTTGTTAACACTTTGTAACGCAATCGTTGCATAAACTACGTTTACCAAACTCACAATTCATCATAAACAAACAATAAAGATCAAAGATAAGGTAACACTCACCCATTGGTTCAATAAATGAAAACACTTTGTTCATAAGTTTGAGGGCAGATTGATGTTGCTGAAGATGGTACAAGACAACGGACTGGTTGTAGAATAGCACACAATGTTCTACATCTTCGAGTGCATCACAGTCCTCTACGTTGACATGTGCCTAAACATTCAACGGCGGTTGGTTTATATTACAACGATTGGGAGGTGAAACAAATCCTTATCAGTTACTTATGGATTACAATAGGCCTACTTACCTATTTATAAGATATTTGTTTCAATGGTAAAAAAAGTTATAGCCTATCTAGTATCCAATAATCCAACATAAGCTTGCAGAGCATGTTTGGCAGACTGTTTGACGTTTGCGCTGCACATATAATATGTTCCCAGTGCAGGAGAAGTGTATCGCAAGATGGAGACTGCGATAGGGACTGAGGTTGGCAGAGGTGAACCTTACATTCTTAATAATAAATTATAGGCTAAGTTAAACACTTTTGTATTTTCGGATTCAACATGAAAAACATGTACAAGTAGGCTAGGCCTACATAGAAGTCATAAACTTAACATTTAATTTTTATCAGTGAATCTTCTATAAAAGTTAGTAAGTTAACAGCGCAGTAAAAAGGTATAGGCTTACTTAATGAAGGTGTAAAATAGGGTGCGTTGCTAGCCTAACTTGTTGGTCAACATTTCAGTCTTCAGTGAGAGAGGGATGAGTCACATGCACAAAACATTTAAGTTACTGTAGTGGGTTTGGACGGCTTAACCTCAAAGTGGAACCTCTGTATTTTAAGCACCTTATATAAAAAAGCCACAGGCGTTTGCTAAACAATAACAACAACTAACTTAACTTAAATGAAGCTACTAAGCATATACGGTACCAGGTAGGCTTACCTGTTGACAAACTTGATTCAAGGATTTCCTGAATACGTCAGTTTTCTTCAGCTCACTCTTGTAAAATTCAGCAACAACTCTATTATGAATGACTTTGACATCGTTTGGTCGAGCACTTTCAAGCTTGCTCAAGTGATGAAGACATGCAGCAAAGTTCATTTTGTTGAATTCTGTCAAAGCTAACTGAGCCAAATCTCTCTCTTGTTCAGAAATCTGACTGCTTTGTTCATTACTGTTAGTTTTATCACTTGTTCCTTCCTTATCCGCCATTCTGCAGGAAAAAAGAACCATTTTTATTTAATTAAAAAAGGGCTAAAAAGTAAAAAGTTAATAAGCCTACATTTGTAATACGAAAGAATGTAAGTTATCTTAAGACTTTGTTTTTACACATTCATAAACAACTTAAGTTAGGCTAAGTATGTGGTGGAAAATAAATGAATATAAGTAAGTTAAATTTATTTAAGTTACCATTTTACCTTCTTTTACAACTAGAAAATCACTTAGGCCTAGCTTAATGAAAAAGATACCTGTCTGTCAGTGAACTTTAGATGTCTAGTCATCTACGTATGGCAACTGATTTCAAGATACAAATTTCATTGTTAGGCTTGAACTTCAGATGTCATATCCCTCAAGTTGAGGTCGTCGGTAAACATAAAGACACGAACACAAACACAAAAACACTGAAATGCATTGTACGAATTAACTTATTATATTTAAATTTGGCCAGTAACTTACAGGACACGGCATCAAGGGTAGATGCAAGGTTATGACAGGCTTATTATTCGTGTTCACAAACTATCTCAACTAGATGACATTTGAAGAAGCCTGATGACAAGATTGTAATTTTGTAACCAGTAACTTAACTTAGGAATCGCCCATGGACAAGTCTAGTAGGCCTAAGTTAAGCTGCTTAACTTTCTAAGCATCATGGAACTAGGTCGATATAATCACCAAGAAACTGACCCTTTAGTGAATTGCTAAAATAATTTTATTTAAGACTCAAACTTACTTAATGTTTTAACATTTTGCATGATAACCTCATTCTTAATAGGTTAAAGAATAGCAAAACATTAATCTTTGCACAATGGTAACTTGACACCTATGAATGAGTTACGAACTTTTGCTAAGATAGGCTAGGTTAAATATCCTTACCTTTAGCTATTGAATAGGAAAGAAGACTTATATATATTATACCGGCTAATTAGTTAAAAATACCTGTTAAAAATTAGGTCTAACTTACAACACTCAACAATGTATACAAACAAAATCAGTAAATCAATAATCAATCACACTCACACAAACAATACAATTTTTGTATTATACAAAACAAACTTGACTGAAACACAATTCAATTCAATTCAGTTTTTTTTACACAAATAAAAACAAAACCAAACAAAACAACAACCAGTCTCAAAATCATGTAAAGGTAAAGTGAGAAACCCTGAACTGAAGATTAACATGAAATCTAACCACGTTCACCTAAAAGGTGGCTGTGAATCTAACCAGTTGGTTAAAACTGATTAGGCCTACTACTTTACTTTTGGAAATAAATATACGTAATAAAATACCGTAATACTACAGTTTGAATGAAACATGAAACATTAAACAAGTTTAACCTTGTAATACACCCGTTCCTTAAAGAACTTAAAACGATATAATCGGACAAATAGAAATAAATAACGGACCAGAGGCACGGCCACCTTTAACTACAGGCCGTGGCCTGGTAGAATTGGCAACGTCGCAAGTGGTGTTGTTTAGTGACAGCATAGATAAAATACCCCCGCCGCAGCGAACCTGCAGACTAGGTGAATTTCCATTTGCCTTATTGGATTTACACTAAAATGTCTCCTTAAAAATATCACATTTATTCCCTATTTAAATAACTTTAGTTTAACGAGTACTTAGGTTTGCTGCAACAGTGGTGGGGGGGGGGGGGGGGGGTAAAAAGGTGGTTTTTAGTAAAATGTAATAGTTTAGTGTGAAATTAATACATTTTCCAAATTTGATCAAAATATGTTCATAAACAAGCAAACTAAACTACCGTACAACAGTTTACTTATTCTCCTTAAGAATAACATAGGAATTTTAAATTTGTAGATTTTTAGAATTTTCTCCGTAAGTATTAGGCGCATATTAACGCTTCAATATACTAAATTATTTGTTTTTTAAGCTCTACAAAATGGTTTGGAAAGAAATTGCTAAATTTTAAGTTTTTAGGGTAAAAAAATGGGAAAACCCAATTTTTACTCCATAAAACCCCCCATAAACCCCTGTTCCCATAATCCGATCATGCTGGTTCGCGAACTCGTTCGAATAAACGTAGGTTTATACCAAATTTAATCAAAATCGGATTTTTTCGAGTTATCGCGCTAACGGACACACACACACACACACACATATATATATATATATATATATATATATATATATATATATATATATATATAAATATAATAACATAATTACTAAAAGGGTACTTTGTTAAATATGATTTTGATATAATTATATATATTTAATAAATAATATATAAAATAACATGAGTACCCTTTTTTGTATTCTTTTTTATTTAATATATATATATATATATATATATGAATTTGAACGGATGGTGTTTTTGGTCTCTAGGGACCTCAAAACGAAAAAGTAAATCGGTCCCGGGTCCAGGTCTTACCATGAGTACTGCGGTAATAGCTTATTCCCTATAGGGGAAATTCGCTAACATAGTCCGGTGACAGACGTCCCATAAGATAACATGACAGACAGATGACATCAGCTCATAAATTCACACTTTATTGATTTAAATTTATGAACATAAATTTAATAAAATATTGAAAGTAAAACAAACAGAATTGAAAACCGAAACAATGAATTAAAAATCTACATCTGTACATTTTTAAGTGGAATCAATATTGTCATTATGATAGTCCAGAAACAAATCTTTCGTAAATACACAAATACCATTAGCTGCATCCAAACAAAACAGCTGTTACAACACCACTTGCGACGTTGCCACTTCGAAGGCCGCGGCCTGGAGTTAAAAGTGGCCATGCCCGAGGATGTTTATTTCTAATGCTAAAGCCAAGAGCCAGATGTGTTTAATTTTAAAACTTAAGTTATAATAATAATCCACAAATAAAGATATAAGATGATAATTTCATTCACAACACTCTGCGGTCCATTATTTTGATTTAACATATATTTATAGCTTATTAATTAATAGTAATCCGCTCACTGATCTGACTTAACAAATACCTTAAAAGTAAAACAGTGTAGTTTCATGGTAGTTTTACTAAGCCAGAGCTGCTCGTAAGCGAACAAGCAATACGTAAAAAAGGTTTAAAGTCAAATAATTGTCAAATCCAGAATAATAGAATCCAGACCAGAGTCAGGTTAGGTTTATAGGGAATTAATTATATTTATAATATAAAAAACAATAACCTTATAGGTTTCTACAATAATTAGTTGCTGCCAATAATAACCAGTAACCTTCATCTAAGTGTAATTTAACTAGACCTTTTACCTCACATGAATTAAAAAGAAAATAGATTGATGTAACTTAAACTAAGTTAGTGTTTGCCTTTTCATCATCTCAATTTTCTATACATTAAATTGGCTTTAGGTAGCCAAAAAATTACCATCCATGGCTACGTATTCTTCAAATTCAAGAAATATTAGCTATTATGATCCATTTGGAGCAGGTCCTAGTAGTTCATTGGTTGGCATTAATGACCACGCCTCTTCTAGTAATTCAGGCCATTTGGAGGAAGAGGATTTTCAGTTTGAGGTAGGTCTAAGCTAAGTTTGGTATATGGGCTAGCGAGCCAGTTTAGTGTTAATAGCGTGGGGTCCTGGGTTGAAATCCCACCAAATCACCTTACGGCTTTTATTAAAGTGTTAATGCTGCAACGCCTAGGTCTAGCCTGAAGTAAGTTAATGGGATGTGCCTTCTAACCTGACTGACACAGTGGCGTCGTCCTGCAATCCAGCTACTAGGTGATCACTAATTGTGGATATTTATAGGCATGTAGGCCTACTGTGGATGCGATAATCCCTGTTGTGGATTAACATCCGCACTATTGAGTGCTAATGTACGACTATCCACAGTACTATCCTGATAAAAATGTGGTTTGGATTCCACTAAGTATGTTCCCTTAGTTGCCATTCCGTGTAACTTATGGGCTATGAATTAAAAGCTGCTGTCTAAGGAATATGTCGGCCTTAACTTAGTCACTAACTACAAGATCCCGCCACTCATCTCCATTCATACTTGGCTACACTCGTATGGTTGCGATTTCAAAGTAAACTAGTGTGCGACTGTACCTGTTGCTCGAATTCCAGAAATTTCGAAGTATTACAGGAGTTATTTTAAAACGAATAACAGTCATAATTTCTGATGACTTTAAAAGAGCCGACTCAAAGATTACGGAAATACCGTACCCCATGTTCATAACAGTTCAATATAATCAACATTTCTTGTAAATATCTTAAGTTATAATTTTCAAAAGCTGATCCTGTTTTTTAGTGTTTTCTACAAACGTTTCCCACTCATAGCCACATTAGGTTGTCCATAACAACAATGATAAATTAAAAAAAAAACAACATAATTTCTATTCCCTTCTACTTGGTGGTGTTCTATGTCTTTCCAATGTTTCCATAGTTTGCAAATCGGCTCTTGTTCAACGATTGCTCAAGAAATGCATCAAGTGTTATTCAGTTTTCTTTAAAGTATATCAAATTGTCCAGGCTTTCTTGCTTTTTCCCAGTGTAATATTTACGCCAACCCAAATCAAATAGGTAGCCTAGTAAGTTAAATTCAACCAAGTCAGTAAATGTTTGTAGCACACATTTCCTTACATTGCAACTGTTTTTAATAACTTGTTTAAATGTTTGAAAGTAATAACTGAAAATAACTAAACAATTCACTCACTTCATTTCTGTTCTTAATTTCTCATCCATAACTTATATAAATCCCAAAGTAGGTAGGCCTACCCATGAACTTTTGAGAAAACTACAAGTCACACCCCCATAAACCATATAACGGTACCGGTACTTAAAATGTTCGTCATGATGAGAAACCTTGCGCAAAACTCTCCATTATTTCATAAATTCCCCTTTAAGGTCAAAATTCCTTTCTAAAGGGAAATTTCCATATAGGCCTACCTAATGTTAAAAATACCTCAGCTGTACTTATTTGCTTGGTATTCTTTCAATTTATTACCTTACTAGCTGAGTATCCGTCCTTCGTACGGGGTTGGTATACAATGCATATTGTAGTTAAATACTCGTGCTTTGCATTTGCAATAAGAGAGGACACGTTTTGAGAAAATTTGGTTTACTATAATCTACGGTATACTATAGTATATAGAACATCTACCATAGCCATAATGTTCTACCACTTCACCTAAACAATAGAAAGAAGTTTTTCTATTTAATCATGTGGTTAGTTTCCAAGGGTTAAGTTAAGTTAGGTGAGTGTAATTTTTTGGTTACTTACAGTTCCGCCTAGAGAACCTATAGCCTAATACAAGTTAGCCTATAATTGTGTGAAATATTAGTTCTTTATATTTATCATATAGCGGTAGGTAAGTTAGTTTTCACTCGATATAAATATCCATTTGTATATTATTTTCCTAAAAGACTTTTTACACATGCTGCAATGGTTAGGTTAGCTTAATTCAGTTTGGCTATGCCTTATGTTTATGAAAATAACAAACTTGGTAAAATTTATGAAACAAGAGTTGATATTGAGAGCTGAGTTTTTGTTTACAGTAGGCTAGTTTGTTAAACAGTTAGAACTGAGTTGCAATTTATTTAAAATCAAACAAACCCCCGACCTTCATATTTTAATGTTAAAGTGTTCTAACTTAATTGAATGATCACAATTTTTGAATTCTTGCAGCACAACTCCTGTTACATCTGCAATGGATATTACGGGCCCTGCTTTGAAGAGCCAGTCTGCGCCACTTGCCATGCATTTTTGTTTCCTGAAGAATTGGGGAACGCTCAAGAAGTTCCAGTCTTTAGCGAGGTTTGTATTTCACTTGTGGCTTACTGATTACTTGAGAAATTAAAATTGAAATAAGTACAGTATCATACTCCATCACCAACAATAAGATACTCTGTTTCAGAAATACTCAGTAGTAGGTAGATCTAAATTGTCTCCACTCAATTTCATATAAAATAAACACAAACAGTATCACATATAGGCCTAAAATAAACAGTATCAGCGATTCTGACACATATTTTCATTAGCTTGTCAACAACCCTTATCATGGGCAAGATGTGGGAGTAACAACTACGATATTTTGTGGGGAAAATCCCAAAGTTGCACAATTTTTTCAACCAAATTTTACAGTACTGTACAGCAATGGGGGTTGTACCCGTACTACGGTACCGGTATTTTGTTTTTAAGCGTCAAAAGGACTATAACATAGGCCTAACTAGTTTTTTCAAAATCTATTGAGCCTTTTTTAGCCTAGGCCTAATTAAATTTTTTTGTGATTTTATGGATTTTTGTAGGGAGATCACCATGGAGATATCATGGATTCGTATCGTCATAACAAATTCTTCTTTTTTTTTACAAAAACAACAATTTTCCCATATCCATAATATGAGAGGAGAAAGTGTAAACAAAACCTTGACATGTGTTGATCAACATAAACATCCCCAAAGCAGTAGTGACATGATTGTTGATTTTAGCCAGCTGTTTGATTTTGTCAGTTTGTTTATTCGTTCCTATTTTTACCGGTTAAATGGTGGCTTAATACGATAGGCTACAAGACTACATTTAAAGTGGGTTAAGAGATCGTACAGTATTAATTGTTTATTTTGCCGATTATGTGGTACCGGTAGCTTATTATTCAGCCCAAACATGCAAACCTCAAGCCAAGCTGAATAGTGAATTATTCTCACCATTGTATTTCTCAATTAAATTAGGCTACAATTCAGCCTATGACTATGTGTCTTTACAGAAAACAGATGATGGGGATTCAGGGAATGATGAGCCAACAGATTTGTTCAGTGGCCCTGAGCGTCGCAGCTCTAATCAGGGAGGGGCTGCAGGGGGAAACGCAGCTCCGCCCACACCTCCTCCCCGCCCAGACCCAGTAGCCCACAGGTTGGAGATGCTCTCGACACCACGAGAGTCGGACAACTTCTCCCCTCGTATTGTAGAATGTCTGCCACCAGAAGGTTAGTGATAAGCCTAGAGTATATTTAGATCCGTTGAAAAGAAAATATTGATGTATTTATTTTTTGATGTTATAATCTGTCTGAACTTTTTTCTTTCATAAGTTAGTTGTATAGGTTTAAAAATGCCTACTAAAACATTAGGCCTATTGTTTACAAAATCTTGCTAAAATTGCTTTTACCGTGTTTCAATATTAGGCAAACACCTTCGTTTGTATGACCCCAACTGTCAGTAATCAGTTGCATGAGAGTTGGTTCCGGCATCTTTCTGTTAAAACAACTGTCCAATTTTTCTTATCAGAATGTCCTACTGACAGCCTATTATGGGGTCATCTTCCCTCATCTGGTATAGGTGGTGACGGTATGGGGAAATGAGAGTAAAAGAAACCGATTTCTATTTCGATTTCCAAAGAGAGCAATTCCAACTATCTTCAAAATCAGCTCACTAACTTCCTGCAAAGACTTTTTTTCATTCTTCAAATAGCCTATTTTAACTTTTCCATGCACATAAATCCTTGAAACACTCTCATTTCTGAAAAATAACATTAATATTTTTACAAGTTCCAGATCATGCCCATATTCTTTGCGAAACAATCTTAATCTACACATACCAAAGCGCACAACCATCTTTTTCAAAAAAACATATTTATTATAAAGGTACCTATATATTTATTGTTTTTCAATGCATTGCCAAACTATCTAAAAATTGAGTCAAACCCAGGGGTAATATTCCCCTGGGAGGGGGAGGGGCAATAAACTCACGTACACGGTAGTGTGACAGGTAACCGAATGAAACAACGAAAATGCACTACGAATAATAATTTATTTACTTAATTTATGATAAAAACAATAGTGAAGTGTTTAGCTTCCGACTTGCTGTATAATCCTATAAATTTAGTTTACAACACAAATAAGTTATTGGGGGACATAGCCTTCCGAGGAGGCTATGGGGAAAGGCGACGCGACGCGGAATTTACATGACCGATTGAATTGGATTTAGAATTTAGACTAACTGAACTGAGTGCGCTCTGCCCGTAGCCCAGAGTTGGGCGTGGAGGGGAACCAGCCAATCGCGTTGCGGCTATGCCGCGTGATGTCAGTGCAAGCCCCAGACAGTGCTGCTGCCTAACGATTCATCAGGGCATTAGGCAAACTATAGCTGCGCATTAACTGATTTCATCGAGTGACTTGCTGAGCTGTATCAGCAAATTCCAGCCATGCGCGTTACACTTTCCGAGAACGTTGGCCCGACCCAGCGCTGAGCCACGCTGACGGAATATTCCATGGTGAGGCAACTGGTTGACGCAAAAAGCTGGGAGGTTAACAGTCCAATATTACATACCCTCTTTTTATATTTGAAATAAAGCAAAGCTTCTGTGACGGTAAAGACAGGGTTTCCTGAGGGTGTAACCAAAACCTCCCCAACTGATATGTAATAGGTCTGGGAATTTTTGGGACCGTCACAGTAGTAGCATTAAAACACTAGTCATTTTCAAAGTGATTTTTTTTAATTACCTCACCTGTAATCTTTTACTAGTGTTTTAATGCTACTACCGTGTACGTGAGTTTATTGCTGACGGGTAGCCTTGGGCATACCGTGTGCTTTGTTTATGAATTGTTAAATATTGTTTATTTAAAGTTATTTTATAGTTTATAATACAAATTGCATTTTTTAATATATTTCTGACTTAGCCAATGCATTTATGTAAATCTGGCCAAATAAATGATTTATGACTTCCAGTCCTGCTCGCTGTGTTTTCCTATCTTGACGACATCTCGCTGTGGTGTGTGGGGAATGTTTGTAAGAGATGGAGACAAGTTTTACAATCCCATGTCACAGGTATGTATTTCAGTTGTTTACTTTGTACACAAATCTTTGTTTCAAAGTGGTTCGTTCTTTGCATGGTTCTCACACTCACAATAACACTTCTGAGCTTTGTCGATAGTCAAACAAGTCTCAACACATTTATAAGTTTTATTGTGATTTAGACATAAAAAATTTCAATAAGATTAAAGTCACAAGTTCTCAGATTGCCTGATAGTATACTTGACATTAACTGAAGGAAAAATATGGTTTAAAATAGCAAATTAATAGATAAGATAAAAATAAAAAATAATATACATGAACTTATAGACAAATTCAGGGTTGGGCAAAAGTTTGGACACCCCCTATTAACGTTTTTTATCCAGGAAAACCAAACTCTGCATACCTATGTGGTATAAAAGTTCACTTTTTTGTTGATATCCCAATTTCGTCTGAAAATCCTAAATGGGTTATTTGAGGGCAACTCACAAGTTTTAAATGTGAAGCCCCATCAAGTGACACCTTATTTTTAAAGGCCATTAGTTAAGGATATCGGCGAAACTACAGGTCTCTATCTAAAGTCTAAACCCATTACAGAATGGCGACCGTTTTAAATTTTCATCAGCCTGAGACCCCATGTAAAAGTATACATCAATATCCGCTATACATATTTATGTGTTGTACCAGGAAAACTAAACTCAATATTACCGTAACAAGAAACTAAAAACTACAGTACTTTTTGGTTGGTATGACAATTTTGCCCGGGACCCCAAAATGGGGTATTTTGGGGGCATTCCATAATGTTCATATATAAAGCCCCATTAGACGACACATCTATATGTATTTTGAGTCTGGTGGTGTGTTATTAGCTGTAATATTGTTTTTATTATATTGAGTTGGAACTTTTGGCTCTTTCTAACCCTATCATCTTAGTATGTATCTGTGTTGTTCAGACTACGCTTTTAGTGCTGACTTTACTTCTTGATTGAATGAGACTTTTCAGTTACTAAAACAGCAAATTTATTATTTTTGATCTAGTGGTGTGAATATTAATTATTTGACCTAATGGTAATTTGACTTATTGAAACGGATACAATTATTTCTGTTTAGGTGAGTTGTGGCATACGTACACATACAAGCGATGGCCACTGTACAAGCCTATATACAACGTCCAAGACTGGTTTGCTGTGTATACTCAACTGTGAGTATAGACCCGAAATTAATCAAGTAAAGTTACATCAGTCAATATTTCATGCTTTTATTGTTACTTGAGACTGTATATATATATAAAAAATTTGAAAACAAGCATTTATATTTGTAGCAGAGTTTTCCATTCATGTAATATCAATAATACATTTTGTTACTGAATCTTACTGTTAAGATGGTCGCCAGTTTTATCCAACCTTTAGGTTATACTACAGTAGTCGCAGCTAGTCTGGGCGCGCGGACCCTTGTGTACTAGCCGTGCTGAGAGTAACGGCTCACTCACCCCCACGGCCTCCCTGAACAACCCCTGAGAGCCGTGTGGGCCAGATGTTTTTGGAAATGAGCAATAAACACTCCCCTCTACACCCCCCGCCCTAGCGCGGCCGCGCGCCCAGACTAGCTGCGACTACTGTACCTAGGCCCGTTCCTTAAGAGACCTTGGAGGCTAGCGGCCATCTTGGATGGTTTCAAATAGCTGCCAAAGAGTTATTTATCGTAAAAAAATATTTTTTCAAACACCAAAGTTTTTTTTTAACTTTATTTAATTTACAATCTGTTTAGAAAGTTAAACATTAAGCAAATGCAATAACAATACAACATTAAAAGTTAACTTGAAGAACATGAGCTAGTGATTGATCACTGTCAACACTACTAGCTAACAAAGATAATTTTGATAACACCTAGGCGAATCTAAATGGGAGGTCCAATATTGTATGTCGCTTCAGTCTGTAAATGGTGTGATTGTCCAATAAATTTAGTGCAATTTAGTGCAAGATGATTTGAATCATTTTCCAATTTGATAATGTATTTTTCACTAGATTTTGTAATTTCTTCTTTGACTGTTTGAATTCTTGGATTCATAGTGTGTCTGGACAAGGGTTGAAAGTGGCTGAAGCATAAGAAGGATGAAGATTTTTCATGGGGAATCGGCCTGGCAAATAAGTCCCAGATTTATTTTTTTACGAGTTAGAACGTCTAGGCTCCAAGGACTCTTTAAGGTCCGGTAAGAAAGGCTGTACTATGTATCCTATTTATTTTGGCAGTTAAACATTAAAGTGATCTTTTAGGTTATCTGCCCTAGGCCTGGTTCCCTGGGGGCCAATAAAGAGAGTGTAGGGCCTACTGTGTGTATTTATCTTTGCCGTTATGAAAAAATCAGTTTCAAGTTGTGTTTCTCACAGGATTGAAAGCTGTCCTTGCAAAGCTTGCCTTATACAAATGTCTGAGCAACAACAGCCAATAGGAGAGGAGAATTCTTGGAGAAGACACAGACTGAGGAACGAGATCAAAGGTTAGTGATATGAACATAAATATCATTTATTACTGTTGTAGTCTATCAATGTCTGTCGAAGCCATGGTTGAAGAACTGTGCTTGTGTTCTAGAAATATGGTTGTGAATCCGACAACCACCCATTGTAAAAAGTACCGTTCTCATTTGTTATAAGAACCCACCTTAAACTGTTGGTCGTATCTAAATAAAAACTTATAAGTGAGAATCACAGGTTGGAGATATTTCCTCTTCTACTTACCAACTGAATTGGCACATCAGAAATCCACGGAGACCTTAAACCTTGGTTAATCGTAATAGTTTATAAAGTAAATTCCTTCAGATAAAAAAAAAAAAAAAATAGTAATCACACTGTTGGTGTTTTGATACTAGCAGCAAAAAATTAAGTCACACTATAAGCTTCCTAGCTGTGACTAATAAGATATTATATTATACTGTTAATTCTGTTCTATGAAATGGCGACCATACAAAGTAGGTATTTTAAGCCAAGTATGAATGGAGATGAGTGTAGGATGAGTGGCGCGATCTTGTAGTCTTGTTAGTGACTAAGGCCGACATTCCTTAGACACAGCTGTTAATTAATAGCCCATACAGCTAAGGGACCTACAGTTTATAGTGGAATCCGAACCACATTTTTGCATTGGTAATTACGAATTGGTCTAATTATCAGAATAGTACTGCGGATAGTCGTAGTACTCACCCGTGGGGACGTTAACCCACACAAGGGAGTATCACATCCACATTGCATGCCTATATATATCCACAATTCGTGACCTCCTGGTAGCTGGATTACAGGACGACGCCACCCGTCCCAGTCACTTACCAATCATTGATTAGCCCTGAATTTCCACATATGGTGGTCGGTACATGTTTTGACATAATAGTGTAATCATCAAGATGATTAGCGTCACATTGCAAAATAAGCCATGTTTGACATGCCTTAATATAGAGTCTGCACTTCTCTTCTAAACCTCTACATGTTTAAAAATTTAAACAGCTAGAAGCATAGACAAAAAGAATTAAATGTATACTGTCAGCCTATGACTGTCCTATGGTTACCATAGGTTCTGGCGCACACCACTGGTAGCGCCGTGTAGTATAGGCATGCACTGTGGATGCGATACTCCCTAGTGTGGATTAACGTCCGCACGGGTGAGTACTACGACTATCCGCAGTACTATCCTGATAATTAGACCAATTCGTATATACCAACACCAAGGCATAAATGTGGTTCAGATTCCACTATAAACTGTAGGTCCCTTAGTTGGCATTAGCTGTATGGGCTATTAATTAACAGCTGTGGCTAAGGAGTGTCGGCCATAGTCTTTAACAAGACTACAAGATCGAGCCAATCATCCTACACTCATTTCCATTCATACTTGGCTTAAAATACCTACTTTGTATGGTTGCCATTTCATTGAACAGAACAGAACAGTAGTTACGTATTGCGTGGGCCGTAACTACATAGCTCTCCCAGCTGTGTGTACCCGAACCTATGGTAACTGCAGCACAGCTGACGGTCTATATTTAATTCTTTTTGTCTATGCTAGAAGGTAGGTGGGTAAAATAAAATGAATTCGTTAAAATATTTATCTACAGCAAGTTTCTTTTTATCACTTCTTATAATAATTTTCATAAGGCTTGTGCTGATAGGTTTGAAGATAGATCCGCCAGAAGGTATTGAAGCTGTGCCCCTAGACCAGAAGAGCTGTCATTGGATGGCCACGATCACAGGACCCGTGGGTAGTCCGTATGAAGGTGGAATCTTCTACCTCTATCTACAAGTTCCCTACTGGTAAGCACCAATATTGTATCAAAATCAAACCAATGATTTTGCGAGAAAATTTTATTTTTATTAATTGCCTCTTGGATTGAAAACTGTTTACAAATAAATTATGGTCACGTTAATATTGTCAATCTGACAGTGTGAAAAGTGTTTCCAATAACTATAATTTTAAGGCTTGGGATGCATCTCTGTCAAATCTCCTACCTTCAATGTTGAATACTCATTGTAAAAAAATGTCATTGATAAGTGTTGATTTTTCAAGTGTTTTAAATATGATGTCAAGTTTTTAATTGAATTTCTATTTTCATGGAATTCGACTTTGAAACTCTGGAAGGTCGCTATGTTCAATTGGATTGGACCATTTTGAATTTTGTTACATAATAGGTATCTTTTAACCTAAGATTACATCTCACTTTACATAAAGAGCAGTTAAAAAGTAAAAAAAGATATAAATTTTGGTGTATAAAATCAATTTCTGAGATTAAACCATCATAAAATTGTGTACACTTACCTGTCTAGCTACCCAATGAAGCCTCCTACGGTGAGGTTCATCACCAAGATATTCCACCCAAACGTGTCTCGTCACGGAGATGTAGGGATAGACTGTATACAACACAACTGGACATTGGCCTTGACTATATCTAAGGTCCTCATCTCTATACAGAGCCTACTCACTGATCCTTTCTGTCAGGTATGTTAAATTTTATTCCTGGGTCTTTTGAGCACCTGTTGTGGTGGAAACTTAGTAGTTGGTAACGATTTTGTGGTTAAATCAAGTTGCAATCACCTTCAAAACTAGAGGCCGGCGTGATTGTTTTCTTTTTATATTTTTTCGAAATAGTGTGGGTTTATGCCAGTGGAATTTTTACTTTTTGGGTACATTTCAGCAGAGAACCTACGATGTATTATTGGATGAAATATCAGTTTGATTTTCTGTTATGGTTTTTTTCAAGTAGAGTACCCGTCCACCACTCTTTTACAGAGCCCTGGCCACTGCTGCGGCATTAAGTTCAGTAGTGTAAATTATGAAACTTATGAAAAAAGAGGATAGTACAAATAAATTTATCTCTTAACAAACTACACAATTTATCAACTTTTGTTTTTATCAATTTTCTTTTAATCATTTTTTTGTCTTGTCATAGACTAAACTAACTTAAACCGCAGCACAGTGAAAAAAGTCTTCATGAATACTTGAAAAAAACATACAATAGATATTGTATCATGTGATTAGATCCGATACGACGATATAAATATCAAACTGATATTTCATCACTTTTGTTTTTCCCAGGTGTGTATGGAGCCAGCCGTTGGGCGGATGTATCGCAACGACAGACAACATTTCGAGGCGATCGCTAGGGTCTGGACTTGGAGATACGCAATGCATGACGTATTGCCTCCATTCAAAGACTTTGGTCAGAATCCGTTTGTAAAGTAATGATATTGGTTTTTTTTTTATAAAAGCTCTTTATACATGTTGTACAGTTTTTCAATTTCAAGTTCGAAACAAGAATTTATATTTTATTAAAACAAACAAACAAGGCCAGGTTCAATTGAAAATACAATTGTTGTGTTTTAAACCTGGGCCTTTTTTTTGTATTCTTTGTGATTACATTACTGAACTTATTTTGCTGACATGCATTAATCAACAAAAATAACAAAATTTCCTTTTTAAGATATTTTGATTTACTTATTTTTATTTTTAATTCATTCCGTTTAATATTATTGATTTGTTTCAAAACACGGTATTTGAAAGAGTAAACTGTAGAGATTTTGACTATATTTGTAACTTTTGTTATCACTTTCAGTGAAATAAAATTTTGGTTAACAATAGGTACACTGTTTTCTCCTTAGTAAAATAGCTGTATCAATTGTTTTGGTATGTTTTAAAGATATTGTTTTGAAAAGTACTTTTTTGTGTAATTACTTATAAAAAGGTAGGTTTTTATGATAAATATCTAGATACAAAATTGCACCACCATCTATGTTGGTTAAAAAAATATTAAGCCGTTTCGGGACTTGCTGATCCATAAATAAAGAAATTGAGAGATTCTAACATTAAAGGGTAGAGAAATAATGTAAAACCAAAATATAAGAAAACGTACATTTATTATAATTTTACGTATGTTTAGTCAATACGATGCAACTTCTAAAAAAACTAATCAAACTATTGGAAATGCAGCACAACTGATTTTAGATACATACACATAATGCTTTACCTATTAACGTTTGTACATTTTACTGAATGTTGAGTAGAGAGTAATTAAATAAATTCATCAGGCTCCCTTGGGGCATCAAGATCTCTGTAGTGGATAACTGGACGATAGTCAGAAACTCCCCTGTAAAATAATAGATGATAGGTTACAGAGCAACAAGAAATAGTCCAAGGCACATAACCGGCAGTATTTTCTAATTGGTAAATTGACTTTTTTTGGATTTCACAGTAGAACTCTTAAATGGACAAGCTATAGCCAATTCTTTTCAAATAGAAAATATTTGAATGAGCCACATTGAAATTCCACGGTCTCCTTTAATTTTGATAATTTGATTAGTCGGATATCACTTAACTGGTGCTATTGTTTACCATTAGTTGCCCATTCAGTTTGGCTTTGTTAACAAGTTGGCCTACTCAACTATGTAGCTGGTTTATCATTTAAGTGTCAGTAGCTCAGTTAAACTACTATATATTCATTTTTGTTCTGAAAGTGGCTATGACTTAAACATGGGAACGGAATGTCTAGCTCTACCCAAAGTCAAAGAAAAAACACTTATCAGTTATAAATGAAGAATACTAGGAAATGTATGATTATGAGTCTAAAACAATTTATAGGCAATATTTGTCATGTCACAAGTTGGCTACTAAATTTTATATTTTTAACAAACCCACACCAAACTTAAACACTTATTACGCAGGACATGCTGACCTACATGCCAAATTCATCATAGTAAAAAAGTGATGATTTAAATAATTTTTCACATTGTTCAAACAGCTACCTATTGAGTATAGATTTACACAGAGTAGATTTACACAGAGTTGCAGAAGAAACTTAGCTTCAGTTTGAGCTTCTGGCACATAATAAAGAATTAGTATCTGTAAAATATGTTTGATCTCTGTAATTGCAAAAATTGCTTTAAATTTCACACAAATGTAGCCAATGCCAGTATATAGATATCTTTTATTGTCCTAAAAAACCTCAGAAATAACTTAAGTTCTAAGATTGAGCTCTTCGAAATACAGGTCGATTGGTCTCTAGAAAAAATGAAAAATGGATAATAACCAAAGAAAATTATGTAAATGAGTTGTGCAATTGAGTGTTGTTACAATGGTGAGTATGTAAATGTTTTCTACAGTGGATAAGAAAATTATTTTATGCACGAAAAGACAAAGGAAATCAAGAGTCTACCACTGTGTAAGTTAAATGAAATAAGGAAGAGCCTTTTAAGGATTTAGTAAATAGCATCGAGGGAATAGGATGCAAGTAGTGGAGAATACACGAAGCATCAATAAAAACACACCCCAAAGAATGAACAATTCTACCTAAATATACAATAGCACTGTTAAATAGCTGACCACCACAATGAGAGTTTATCCAAGACCACATTTAAACCAGAGTTTGCACAAAATGTTTAAAACATGTATAGACAACAAATGTTGCAAACTCCGGTGTAAAAACACCTTAAAACAAAGGACTCTATCACATGTTTGCAGCTTCTTGTGGAAAACAAAATGTCCGTTGAAATACTGAAAGTGTAGAGGTTGAGACCAAACCAAACAAGCATTCTTTTAATTGCTGTTTAAAACAGCATCTAAAATCTCTGTGTGTGTTTTTACATTATTTATTATTGTGTTGCACAATACAATCTTTTCTACTGTAAATTAAAAGACCCAATACTGACATAATAGATCCTCCCTTAATAAAAGTGTTGAAATGATAAATTAAAAGAAGGGAAAACGATCTTATAACACAAAATCACCCATTGACTAATTATTAATATAAAGTAAGGGACCATAACGACATCAATACAATTTGAGTTTATGCATAGTAAGTTTGAAGCCTAAAAGTAAGCAAACAAGCTAAAATTAAGCACCTCTGTCCCTCAGAAATTGTTAAGGCCATCCTCAAAATGTTATTGACCAACAAATTGTTTTATAATAAACAGAAGAAACTTCAAATGCCATCTTCAAACTGTGATCTTACTTGATGAATTGTTTCTAGAACTTGAATCGCAGGGGTTAATTTGCACTTGTATCAAAGGTAGAACATATTAATTATTTATCTATCATCTCAGCACTATAGATTTGATACAATTTAAATTTGTAAAATAGCAAAAGTTAACATCAGTATAAAATACCCCCGCCACAGCAAATCTGCAGACTAAGCAAATTTCAACTTGTCTGATTACATTTTTACTTAAATATTTCCATAAATAATACCTATTTATTCCGTATTTAAATAACAGTAGATTTAACGAGTGCTTAGGTTTGCTGCTACGGGGAAGGAAAAAAGTGTTTTTTGACCATACGTCAATAGTATAGGATGAAATAAATAAATTTGCCAAATTTTATCAATATATATCCATAAACAAGTAAACTACAACAATTTTCATTTTCTCCATAAGAACAACATTGGAATTTTAAATTACACTATTTTTGAATTTTCTCCGTGACCGTTAGGCATACAACAGCGCTTCAATATACTAAATTATTTCTTTTTTTATGCTCTACAAAACGGTTTAAAAAGAAATTGCAAATGAATTTGTTTTTAGGGTAAAAAATGGGAAAACCCCATTTTTGCTGGATCGCAAACTCCTTCGAATAAACGTAGGTTTACACGTTTGTATCAAATTTCATCAAAATCGGACAAGTTTTGCTCGAGTTATCGCGCTAACGGACACATATATATATGAATTTGAACGTATGGTGTTTTTGGCCTCTAGGGACCTCAAAATGAAAAATAAAATCGGTCCCGGGTCCAGGTCTTACCATGAGTCCTACGGTAATAGCTTATTCCCTATATGGGAAATTCGCTAAAAGACACTAGGTTGATGAAACTTTATAAATAATTAAAGTGAAACGCACACCACAATTTGTCTTAAACACTGTGTTTAAAAGTTGAAGCTATTGTTTTTAAAAATTCCTAGAGACCATGTAGTTTTATTTTGTTAAATAATTTAGATACATAATAATTTGGTTTATTGGATACAGTTTCAAAAAAAAAAAAAAAAAAAACGGTCAAACCATTTATAAAAAGGGGGAATGATCACCACCACCGTGCTTTCATAAATCGTACACATTTACATTCCCTTCACCAATGATGTGGGTAGTTATTCTTCCAATTCATCCCATCATTCCTTCAAACACCAAGGCAAATAGGAATTGTAGAAGCCTTCAAATATAACATACTATGTTTATGTTGGCATGTTGGTGCACATACTAATAGTATTATTATTATTGCATTTAGATATGACTGCATTTTGACTGGTTTCCAGAAGGCTCTTTTTCAATAGTAAAAATAAAAAAAGGCCGCTGAATGGAATTTGCTCTTTATTATAAGATGTTATTTTTTATTTAATGTTTTAAGCATATGGTTTTGAATATCACCAATGCTTGGTAAATATTTATTTTTTTCTAATTTGTTTAATTCTCAATATTTATCTCATGTATGAGGGATAAGCAACAAAACAAGGCGAATTGAGATAAAACATATGTTTCTGAAACAAAATGGTAGGCATTTAAAATTAAATGACAATACATAGTAAGTAAAATAAAACAAAATAGTCTTGTTGTTATACATACTTGAAATATGAAACCAAACATTTTTGTATATCACTATCAAACTCTAAAATAATAGATCTCTACAATGATTCAATTGAGTCCAACATTGCTTATTTGATACATTGTGTTGTATAATCTCTACTGTGTCGAGTACAGTAATCAGTTAGGAACAACAGAGTCTTTATTTTCATTTCATGGACTTTCACTGTTCATAAGTTTGCTTTGATCATGTAATTTTCTAAGCCGATGATGTTCTATGGTGAAGCAAAAGAAATTGCTGATGTATCACATGCTTAAGACGTGTCAGGCGAGGAATGTTTATAAACACTAATCAGTTTGTGCAAGTTGTACACAAACTCCTCATGTGACATCCCGACGCGTCCATCGTTCCAATACAGGCAAGGTACAACAACATTCACAGTCGCTCCTGTCAGTCGTTGAAATTTGACCAGGTTTGCAACAAACTTCTCAGGTTTGATTTTATCCCTCATGCAGCCCATTGGAGAGCATATCAAATGTCCAAATCCCTTGTTTTGGAAATCATTGGAGAGCTGATCAAAAGCCAAATCGTAATCCTCTTGTTTGGGTTTGTTGAAATATTTTGGCTTTGTGATCAAACCGTAGATTCCTGCTCCTCCGAATTGCTGAAAAGTCAGATGAGAGGACACCCGATGTTCTGCCGAGGGTTTACCAAACATTCGGGCAAATACAACAGCCACTCCTCCAGACATGTGTCTCTCTTCTCCGAGGTCATCAGAGATGCAATGAGAAAACGCTACACTCGGATCTGTACGACACCTTACCATCATCCTTCCCATCGTCTCTTCTATGATCACAATTTGACTTTCGCTGAAAAACCACAGATGTTGCATGCATGGCTGTGAGTGGGGGGGAGGGATGGATCTCGAATGGCATTGGAAGTATTTTGTGGTTGAGACGGAACTCTATGCTCTATAGTTATGAATGTAACATAGAGCACAAGGCCTAGGTTAACTGGATGGATAGTAAACTTACACGAATGGGAAGGAGCCTATTCTGTCACAAGAAAGCAGATTTACACATTTACATTAGAATACGTTAGTTCACTGTCTCAGTATTTCACCTTCCTTGGTTGAAAATGCAGTCAGTGAAATATTATAATTTTTGCAAAAAGTGTTGTGTTTCTTGTGCCAGATTACTCTCTTACCCATTTAGATAAGCCTGCTATCCTAAAAAAATCCTAAAATAGTCAATACATTGACAGCAACTTAAATATTTTGGAAGATTTAATGTTGCTTAGCGTTCTTATCTACCTTGACCATAGCGTGAATCTAATGCAACTGAATGTAACCCTTGTAGGGTCATAGATAAAAGACTAAACACACTTTTTAGAATACAACTTCTTTGTTTGAAAAGATTCAACAAAAGAAATGAGATAGAAACGGATATACAAATAAATTTTTCAACTGTGTTAACGTCTATATGGCCCCTTACAGTAAACAGTCCCTTAGACATAAATTTATCAATCACAAAAATTAAGCTTAGATTCAAAATTTTAAAAAGTAGTTTACCAGTGTTGATGAGGCATGGAAAAAGGGTCATAAGGATGGGAAATGTGCTGACCAAAATGTCTCCTCATCATCCTGAGAAATTAGAAAACAATCAGTAAATGTGTAAAGTGAACGCATACTGACAAAATAATTATAGTCGTGGACTGGGTATCTCTGAACCAGGAAAAGGAGACCTAACCTCGTCCTACCTAGGCTATTGTGGGGTGGCCGACCCTAATTAATGTCGCTTGGCTGGGCTCAACGAAAACTACTAGATACCCAATAACAAAAAAGTAAGTTAAGTTATTTACAAAATTATTAATATTTATAATCATATTATGTTTTGTTTTTAAATCTCAGATTATTTTGATACTAAAGTTGATGTAAATTGGCCTATTTTGACCAACTTCTACTGCCAAACTAGGTTTTCTTTTAAAAACTAATTTTTAATAACCAATTAAAATTGTATATAATTTATATAAAAGCGTGAGCATATGGAGGGATAAAAATAATTTACTCTGTAACTTTATTTATTGTACAATTAATATTTACAAACGTTTTTAAGAGATTTTTAAAATTAGTTTTAAAAAGAAAAACTAATATTTCTACTGGCGGTACAAATTGGTCAAATTGGCTGATTTACATCAAATTTAGTATCAAAATAATCTACATTCAGAAACAAAACATAAGATATAAATATTAATAATTTTTGTAAATTTTGTATTGGGTATCTAGTAGTTGTTTTCGTTGAGCGCAGCCAAGCGACATTAATAATTATTAGGGTTGGCCAGGCGGGCCACCCCACAATAGCCGAGGTAGGTAGGTCGCATTTTCCTGGTCCAGAGATACCCAGTCCACGACTATAATATAATAAGTTAAACCTTTTGTTTATTGAGGTCCGCACCTCACCTATCACTGCTTTTTTTACAATAGTTAAAACATATTTTTTCTAATAAACTTGATGAATTCATGATGATGAATGATGTAGTGACTGAAGCAAATATGACTCAATCAGCTTGATGATGTACATTACCGTTGATTTTGAATTGATTAAACAAGTTCAGCAATCAACTACAATTTTATCTGCAATTTTATACATATAAATTTTTTTTAAATTTAAAGGTAGATAATATGGTGAGATTTAGGGCAGAGTACCTACACATTTTCTATAATGTTTCAGGATCTATAATTTAACCAGTAATATAACGTCTTTAGTAAAAAACTCCCACAATTACAATACGATATTTCAAACAAAAAAATCTTAGAAAAACTTCATACAATGAACCAGTTTGTCTTTGTAAAGAAAAATAGTGTTTTTAATCATAAATCATTATTTTTTTATCAGATAAAACTCTTTAACTAATAAAATTACATTAGGAATTTACACATGTGAGCAAAGCTGTGTCAATATAAGCAGCGATAAAGCATAATAAAACCGCCACCACTCTCAATTCCAAAAAGCAATACTAGGTACAATCTTTTTGGTTAAACTGCAAAATGGGAAGTAGTTGATAAAGCTGTTGGTGCTTTATTAAAGTGAAAATAAAACAACTCAGCCTTAAGAGTATTATAGCTCTTTCTTTTATAAAAAAAAGAGAGTGCATACCTGCCGCCACGGGGGAACATTCCTCCTCGGCCTGGTCTGCTGTAACCTGTCGGATATCCTCCATAGTGTTGATAACCTCTGCCTCCTCCATAACCACCGTATGAAAAGCTGCAAACACCGTAACTAACTCAACCAACTAGGATATAACCTCAATATTCACTATCTATCTATATATTAATAGGCAAGCATGTTTCTTTAAAACCTTTTTTCTCAGCTCGTGTGCATCGCAGGGAAAATCTACGCATACTGTTGGAAAGATATTTTCCTGTAGATGTGCAGAATGCTTTTAAAAATTAAAATAGGCTAACAAATAAGAAAAAAATGAATTTGAAAACTTCAAAAAATTAACATGGACCATATGGGTTGCCATGATGGTGACGAAATAACAACAAAATGTAAACAGAAAATCAAAACAAATGGAAGAAATTCCAATCACGTGTTTTATTTACAGTGTGGGGAGAAAATAGAGACGTCTGTACATTAATTATTTTTGGTCGAGTTTCAACCACAGGACGACCACTAGTTTAAATTATAGTTAGGGGTCTGCGGTGCACCGAAAAAGTCGGTACGGTACGGTACAAGCTTAATTACCGTCATCGGTTCGGTACAGCATTTTACACGGTACAAATTCGGTTCGGTACAGCCTATTATAATAATAAATTACTTTCAGTTTACTATCGTAGTCAACGGCAGTTGGTTCCGAGCACATAAAAGTCTTATCAGATGTTTGTTTACGATCTTCATAATTTATTACTAGCGTGACGATGCAATAAAAAACCCATTAGCAGTCCCAAATCCATTAACATTTTATCACGACAATAATTGTTGTATTGAAGTACTTCCAAGAACTGTTGAGTTTTATCACTTTTATTTCTTTACGACTTTCCCCAATTCTGTTTTATCATAAAAATAATAGTTTTATGATGACTGTTAAATGTTATCTCTAACTTAATCAGTATTTTCGTGAATATTGAATTTGCCGCTGGCCATTGCCTACTGCCATAAAACTGTTTATGGCTACATATAAAACTTGTAACTAATCTACAATCTTATTTTATAAATTAAATATTTGTTATGGATATTTTATCTTTCTATTGACGTCCATGGATATATATAAACTTTTGTCGTGATTTTAATTTCAACATCAAAATACAATATTGCACAATCGTGATATTTTAGGCCATTGACCTTTATTATGCATCCGGTATTGCTGTTTCAGAAGAGAAGCAAGTTGATAAATTATAAATTGATATTCCCGTAGTTAAAAAGAATTATTTTATAAACCTATAAAACAAAATCATAAAATCTTACATAAAGATAACAATAACGGAAATTGTAAAAAGGGTATAAAGATAACAACGTCATTCTTTCTCTTTGTTCTTCTATTTCTTGGGTTTCCCTTCATCACGCATTCAACAAGTTGCCATGGTTACTAATCACCCATGTCGTTATCAGCTTTTCTGACATAGCGCACAGCAGGTGGTAAAACTTGACGAAAATCGGTAAATTTTTACCTATTATTTAATTACCAATGAATGTACGGTACTACTTTATTGGTATTTTATTAATAATCGGTTCAAATGGCAGATTTTTGTCAAATTTTACACCAAATTTATTGAAATTTCAAGGTGAATATTAATAAAACAATTATTACCAAATATTTGTATTCATTTAAAAGATTGATTTGTGGTATTGGGTTCCCCACTGAGTGCAGCCGAGCGGCACTAATGAGGGTCGGACCTTCTTGGGGGTGAACAATAGACGGCTTATCAGACCCTCCCCTCCCCCGTGGTCTGGAGAAAGCATGTAAACAAACTATTGCACAAGCGTGACTTGACATTGAGCTGCTTCAACTATAATTTTGTCAAATGAACTGTGATGTTTCAAAATCAAAAACAATAATTTGGGACCATACTGCTTAACACTAATGGACTGCAATTATTGTTGAACATACAATCCATTTTTAACAAACTAAGATTATACGATTCAAATACAATTATAAAAATTATCTTGGTATTTTACTTGGGGTAATGAAGTTATGTAGGCTAGTGTAATTCTCTGTTGATCAAGGTTCTACTGAATTATGTTTGGCAGTGAATAAGTGTAGAATGCAATTTATAAATTCAGGGATACACACCTTTTACACAGTTATAAAGTCTAATTGCCCAACATCAAATCTTACTCTGTGATAATCCAAATTTTAGTTTCAGAAAAAACTTTGCAAGAATTGTATCCATCTTATAACTTAACTAATTTTGAAGCTGATAAAAAAAAATGGTCTTTGCCATTACTTCATCATAACCTCCAGTTTTTCATTGTCATCTGCTGTGAACAGCTGGCAAAACTACACTGTCTTCTACTGAATGCTTTTATATGTTTTTAAAATTAAAAAAAAAACAACTAGACATTGTGTTGGTTGGAAATAATTTACCAGTTTTGTGAAATTATCTTGTCAATAAATGTTTCACACATGTTTATTCATAAAAACTCTTATCCTATTTTTAAACTACTTTATCATGGCTATTCAAAGTATCTCAGAGTAAAATAGGTAAAGCCTTTATCTCAACTGTGATTTTTCTTGACACAATCCTCGTAGTAGTAAAAGGTTTTGTTTTAATAATATGTGGTACAGTAATTGTTGTTAGAAAACCATGAATGTAGGATAATATCCATTTTCATAGTAATGTCTATGTATTAAAGTTAAAAATAATGGTTTAGATACAGTTCTGAGAAGAAAACCGCAAAAATACGGGTAGCCGCGTACCGTGCCGATTTTGTACCGAGAACCGAGGTACAAAATATTGTACCGTGCCGAACCGTACCGACCTTAAATTTTCTGTACCGCAGACCCCTAATTATAGTGGACCATGTTTAATTCCTACTTCGGTAAAAATCTTTGTTGATATAAAATTATCTCTCAGTCCTTACAACTGCTATGTATAATTAATTTTGAAACACACATTGGTATATAATTTTGGAAGATTTCAAATGTTTTGAAGATTAATGATATTTATCGTTTAAAAAGATTAATGAGTCAAAAACTGATATTGAAATAGGCCTACCACGTTCGGGATAAATAATAAAGGCCTACTACTATTACTGAACATTACTCAGGGCCTATTACCCTGGTATAGATTACTGAGAATACTCTATTATTTCTAGTAGGCCTATCGTCACCTGAACGAGTACGAATGAAATAACCATTTTGCCGATAGCGCTTTCCTATTAACAGCGAACATGACAAAATAATGGTACCTTGGTAATAGACTACTGAGAATACAATTATTTTTGTAATGTCTGATTTGTTAACATGAGCGAGGGAAATAATGTCGATTGTGTCTTCCTATTAACAGAGACGGCTGAAATGTCCTTGAAAGGGACTCAAATAGGTGACAGCAAAAATAGTATTATATCACCTATTATTATCGAAAAGCTACGGCAAGTTCCAGACTACATTTGCAAAGTACCCTAACAGTATTTCAAATCTCCATGCTTAACCCAGTTAAGATCATTGCCCTCCTCTCTCCTATTCTCCCATCTCCCTTATGCTTCAGCGACACTGTTTTCCTGCTCAAATTTACTGACTGCAAGTATGTCCACTTCAGAGACTTTGTCAACAAGCCTATCTTGTTCCAACTCTTTCTATCAAAACAGCTGAGAAATCCCTACTACAAGCAACCAGCTAATGTTAATAATGATAAATGTGATTTTATTATACTGCCAGGTTATGCAATATTGACTCACTAAGGTCCGGCAGTGTGGTCAGGTACGGGATCCTTCTTGGCCTTGTTGCCTGGGTGTTCAGGTAGCATAGGACGCTTTGGGTCTCGCAAATAGTTGTTGAAATACTCAACCTGCAATACACACATTTATGAGATAACACTTAACAGTGCTAAAAAAACATTGCCTTGACTGTGCAAGTATAGATAATTATTTGAGTGTTAACAAAGCGGTTCACAAATTTGAAAAAAAGTCCAAATTCCTGAGGGATTATAAGTTAAAAACCTAATAATACATCCACTGAACCTAAAGAAAATATTGGCATCTGAGATTTGATCGGCTGGATTTGAGCACTTATTCATAGTCGTTTTCACAGAACAGAATAGTACTTGGATTCTAGACTCAACTAACCTCCTTCTTCACCTCCTCGATCTTCTCAGCATGCTTATTGAAGATGTGTTTCTTCACAAACTCCGGCCCTTTGAACTTCTTACCAGACAATGGACAGAGCCACTTGTCTTTGGCCAGCTCTTGAGTGTTAGCCGCCACAAACTTCTCTACCTGTCAATCACAAACATATCAATTAAAACAAATAATACACTTCATTGAGTTTATCCTTGAATAATTTTGACTACAGAACTATTTATTGTAAATTATCTGTAGGTGTACTACTACTCCAAATTTAAATTCATAAGTGAAAAAAATACCTTACACAATGGGTTTACTGGTTTTGGACTATGTTGACCCTGAATAACCGTCATGATCATTGAATATTATTCCTGGATCTCAGGAAACTTTCTCTAGTTTACTGTACATTCACTTTTGGATCCCCTGTGTGTATATCTCCCCTGAATATCCTCTTCTGTAAATCAACTATAGTCTCACCTCGGACTCTGCCTCCTTGGCCCCCAGTGCTGTCAGCTCCTGACCCTCCACGTCCCCACAGCTGTTGATCAGACAGGTCATCTTCTGGGCAAACCCTCGGCAGTACTCCTGTATCTCCTGACTGGTCACCTGCACAATGCACATTCAATCACTACAAGCACTACAATACTGCACATACATTTGACCACTGAACTCAGTGGGCTGTTTATCCTAGTAGTTTAGAATAGTAATTTGATCACCTATTTAATGCAAAACTGACATGTACATATTGATTTGAAATTTAATGTGGTTGCTATTTGCAGCTGTCTACATTTTTAATTCTATCGACATCCTGTCCACACAGTACATTTTATGTTTGACCATCAAAATTTTGCAAGAGGAAAAAAACTGTACGCATTTTTGTATTTAATTACAGTAGACTCTCTCTAGTTCGGCTTCGGTTGGATTGGCCGCCGAATGGTCCGGCCCGGTCTCAGGGGGACAAGTCATATACATACCCTCGGCGAATGACCTTCGACAGGATTCAACTTGAATGTTTAGTTTCCGGACATAGAAGTAAACAATTCATGTCAGTTTAGTTTACGGGTGCTTCTATGGGTGAATTGCCGCATATTACCTATGCAAAACTATGTTACATATAACCTCAAAAATACCAAGAACATTTTATAAATAATTTTTCTTCGGTCTAATATGTTGAGATGCAGTGTATATTTTAATATTTCGGACCACTTTTTTATGCAGTAGGTTCCCCCATTATTATTTTTGAAACACCACGGTTTATTTGACAACAATAAATTAAAGCAAAACAAAGAACTAGCCATCGTTAGCTTCAAGGTCAAGCTATCCGCTTGCACTGACAATCATCTGCTCACACAACTGATGTCTGCTGTGCACTTGCTTGCTATCTCACAACAGTTTGTTATTGGGTGATTAGTAACCATGGCAACCTGTTGAATGTGTGGATGAAGAGAAACCAAAGAGGCAAAGAAAGAATAGAAGAACCAAGAAGAAAGAATAAGCGGTGTTTTACGTCATCCATTGTTATCTTTATCCAATTTTACGACTGTCCTTATAACTTTTAAGACTAAGTACTATGATTTTATGTTGTTTTATGAATTGTCTAATGTTTTTATGGACATTCTTATGTTCAGAAACAACATGTAGTAGTAGCCTATGCTGACTACGGTAGACTTTCTGTTGTTCTGTTCATTACGTGATTTATTGCTGTATGTACAGTGTTGTGTAATTTTTGTTTTGATTGAGTAAGCGTGGTTTTAAACGTTTCAGTTTTTATTACTGAACCAAAGTTATTGACTTAACATATCACGATTGTGCAATACTATTATTTGTAATTTGATTATGTAAATTGCACTACATCCGGTTAGTCCGGCCGTTTTGTAGTTCGGCCAGTGGTCCGGTCCCGAGGTGGCCGAACTAGAGGGAGTCTACTGTATTAGGAAATGAAATATAGCATCAGAATCATTCAAACTTAAAATTTAACAAACACATTTTTGTGCAGACAACATTTTTAAGGGACAAAAAATATTGAGTGAAGTGCTCTGATTGTCAACTAAGAGGTCCACAGTTACTTTTAAGTCGTTTGGGAACCACTTATGTAGGGCATTTGGTCCTGAGATTCACCCTTTGGCCTTTACACATATAGAGCACTTTTGGTCACAGCTTTTATCTACCAAGTACAAACATTCATGATGGTTTACCTTAGTAGTCGGCAGTGAGCCTCGAGCATGCATGATCCCACAGCGGTTTGGCATCTCATCCTCGTTGGGATACTCACAATGGTTGTAGTAGTCGACAGAGTGGACAATCCTTAAATACAGCAGTAGCCTGTCCAGCACCTGTACAGTCAGGTATATGGTTAGATAAAAAAAAAAAAAAAAAAACATGGACTAAGATCAACTACATAACCTGAGAAAACAATATTCCACAGGCTTAGGGATACACATATAATTTTACAACACTAATCTATTGTCCTTATGTAGGACTTCTTCAGAAAGTAGAATAAAAAAAAGCAATCTGCACTTAAAACAAAAAAATTGCTTGGATTAATTTCCTTTTTATCAAATTCAAGAAACATAATAATTATGCCTTAGTAATAATACTTACTTATCCAGTCGTGAACAATTAGCAGCTAAATTTATCCAAGGAAAAAATCAACCCACAATATTCAACTATAAAAGAATTAGTTGAGGTATGACAATATAAGACATTAATAGGATTTACATACCTCTGTCATTTTAAATCTACCTCCATAAATTCTTTTACTATCTTAACAAGTCTAGCGGCCGGAAACATAAATTTTGATCACAAAATAAATTGAGGATTAATGAAAAATAGTAACAGTTAAAAAGTAATTAAATTGAAATATAACTGCCTCATATGAAATTTACAGCTAACCTTAATCAATCCCTGATCCCTCTCATCATTGTCTTCTGTCTCGGAAGCTTGTCCCAGAAGTTCCTCTTCCTCTGCAGAAGCCTCTTCAATCAGGTAGTCTGTGATATTGCGCAACACAGGGTTCTGTGAGACCAGCCCAAAGCTCTGCTGTGCAAAACAAAAATCAATCAACAGTGTAAAAATTTAAAATCTTGTAGCTTACAACCAAATAACAAATTGTCCTTTCAATTTAACAACAATTATTAGAAATATACTGTAATTTGTTTCAGGAAATCTTGATGCTTTTATAACCAGTGATTTTTAACTAAATCCACACTATTGAACATCAAAAAAATAGAAGCTATGGACAGGTTGGCTCTATTCTTAGGTAAATTATGAATCATTATCTATGACTGCTGCCAAAGGGAATTTTTAATCTTTACTTCTTATACATAGCCTAACTAAAAAATTAAGGGGAAATTTCTGTCGGGATTAAAGTAAATTCGGGCATTTCCCAGGTAAAGAAATCTGTCAATGTCATCACAATTGTGAGAAATCAAATCAAATTAAAATAGCATTCATTCCGCCAAAATATTTACAAATTACATCATATTAGTCATGTAAAATGTTTACAATACAATATTGTTTATTTTTTAAATTATATATAAAAAATGTATGAAAAAAAGAAAATTAGGGCTACTATATATAAATAAAGATTAAACATTAATAAACTTAGTACCCAAGTAAAATTATTTATTAAAATATTTACTGACTATAGTTTCGGCTCTAAGGCCATTTTCAAAGTAAACAAAAATCAAAATAAGATATGTAAATAAATAAATAACATATGATTTTATAAAACTTTTCTAACTTGTAACATAATTTTGTCTTCATTGACTAATTTATACTAGTGTACATGTTGCTCGAATTCGAGCAATTGCAAAGTATTACAGGAGTTATTTCAAAACAAATAACAGTCATATTTACAATGAATTTAAAAGAGTCAACTCAAAGATTACCGGTGTGTAACTCAGACCATGTTTATCTTCGTTATTGATAAACCTAAAGCATTCCGGCCGGTTTTCTCCTTCTCAAAATGCCTCGCTGTACAGGTAACACAGGTCATTGATAGAGGGCCAATTGAGAACGAAAAGTTATTTTGGGGTTTTTTAACCTAATAGTTGAGCCTATTACGTGTCACTGTTCTGTAGCTGCGGTCGATATCACGATTACGCCTCCTGTCTATGTTTCATTGCAGTAGCGTCGGAGGCATTTAAATGAAAAAACAACAAATAAACAAATTATAGCTACACAAAACAACGATAAATTCACAAATTTAAGTTACAATCATACTAACACGATCTGTCATAGCGACACAAAACAACGAAAAATACACACATTTAAGATATAACCATACTAACACGATCCGTCTTGGAGGTTATGTTTAAACAAACTCAAATAGTAAATAAATGTACTCAATGCGTTTCATTGAATTGAATAAATAACAGCAATTAAATTAAACAGCTGATCAAAATGTAAACAATTATATTCTCCATAAGGATAACATGGGAACTTTAAAAGCCACTGGGGCAGAGCCCAAGGGACTTTTTCAAAAATGTAAGGCCAGTTTGCAAATCTACGCGACACGCTCTTTCCAATGAGACGTCAATGGTTAAAATCGGTTAAGAAATGGCGGAGGAGTTCAACCGACAAAGTTTCATGTAGCGTATTAATTATATAGATACTATATGATGTGTTGTACTTATTTTCATTAATATTTTCTCAATTTTGCTATTGTTTCATATATTGGATTATTCAATTTTGGAATCATTGTATTTAAAATATTTGATTTGTTATTTTTGTAGTTCATATAAATATTAATTTCTTCTTTTACATTCAATTTTTCTCTGTCTTTTTCAATTTCTAATATTGTTAAGTTTTCTTCGATCTTAGTAAACTTATGTTTGGATTTTAGTAAATGATCTGCAAAATTTGATTTCATTGATGTTTTGTTCTTCGATTTATATGCCTGTATATGTTCGTTGAATCTAACGTTAAAATTTCGATAGGTTTGTCCAATGTAGTATTTGTCACAGTCAGAACATTGAATTTTGTAGATATAAAAAATGTAATATAAACATAAAAATGTAAAAAAGCTTTTTAAATTAGCCAAATATCTTCCACAAAGAAGAAATATCCCTGTGTGTGGAAGAGAGTTGTTGTCAATCAATAATCAAATCATAACAATTTCTCAGTGATCATAAGGACGAATTGTGATTATGTGGAATTAATCATGATAGGCACAATTATGGAAGATAATCATGATGTTGCTGCAAAATTTCTCATTCATAATCAAGTAAATAATAGTGAGAATGGATTTTCAAAGGTTTTCAAAATTTCTGAACCCCCGTAGTAGCTTTACCTCTTGGGAGTGTTTCTTGTTCTCCTGCCACAGGTTGGTCTTGGCGTCCAAGTTGTGAATGATCTTGGCGCCCAACTTGAGGTCGTGTCTCAACACCTGTTTGTGTCCCGTCAGTCCAGTGACAGTCCTAATGCGGCGGCTCAGGTCTCTGTTGACGATGGCGCCCAGTTCACAATCTCGCAGCTGCAACAACCATTACAAATTTGCTTCTGAAATTTAGCTGTACAAAACTGGAACTGAATCAAATGAATTGTGTTTCAGTATTCAAATCTTGTTTAAACGTTGTTACATTCCATAAGAAATTATGATGAATTTACATTGATACATTCCAATTGTTATATTATATTTCACCTGACCAAGTGGTTTATCTGGATTTATTAAAAGGAAGAAGTTAAGTGAGCTTAGTTGAAAAAAGTAGTCCACAGGCTAATGGATAAGCATTATAAGTTCACAAAACGTAATACTGTTATGAAGTCCTGATATATGTCTTCTTCAGAAAGGAGATTGAAGGGAGCAAGGTAAGATGATGTAGACTTCCTCAGGAATCAGTAGATTATGACCATTACATTTTATAGGTTGCATCGATGACCTCCTCATTTTGTTTGATAGTAAACCAATCTTATTATTAAACGTCAACTTGATTGAATTTTAAGTGTAAGGAAAATTAAACTAAATCTTAGACCTCTGAATTGAGCTCTTAACTGGTTTAATACAAATCAGGTTTTTTAAATGAAGGTAAATCAAACTTTACCTTATGGTCTGGTTAAGGTTGGTTTGTAGCACCAAGAAAATGTTGAGTATTTTCCAATATATTAGTAAAGGCCTCCCTAGATTTAAAATCTGCCTTTCGACCCTTACTCGACACCCAAAGCATTGCATGGGTAGCTGAGTGGTTATAGCGATTATCTTCGAATCTCAAGTTTGTTAGTTTGATTACAAATGGACTTAATTCTAGACTCAGACACCATTTATCAGTTAAAGGATCCAACAAAAGGCCGATGTTAGATAGTAACAAGACCACATGGACTGTTAACTTACATCAAACATCCTTGGAATAGAACAGTTGTCAACTCACCCTGATGTTGTTGAGATTCCAGCAGATCTCTTTGATGTTGACGTCTCGCTGAAAGGTGACCCAACCTCTGCGGAACCACCTTCGCTCTGGCTGTGGGTCTGCAATGGCTACCCGTAGAAAGCCTGGGTACCTCTTGCACATCTGTGACACATGGTCAGATTACAACTGCTGCCTAGTAACTACATATCAATGTCAATAGAGATAACGAGCCTAAGCTTTTGAGTGGGTAGACAAAACATTGGATAATTTGTTGGAGAAAATTGTATCATGCAATTGGTTAGGGTATATGGATAAGCCTGAACAAGATGCATGCAAGGACGAAAGAAAAGACAACCAACTTTATCTGGCTTTGATTGATAAGTCTTGATCATCCTTACCTTTTTATTTGATAAGCCATACCTTCCTCCTCTTTTACAGATATTTTACTGTTTGCTAAATCTTATATACAACAGGTCAAGACAAGGACAATGAGAAGTAAGGCTTATAACACAAAATAAAAATATATAATAACTCTTACTAATAACAGGTTCACAGCACGTCTAATTTAAGTAGTCTGGCTAACATTTGACTCTAGAAAGGACAAAGTCATATTAGCTGTACAGAAAATAGGCCTGCATTGTTCTTTTGAGGTTATAGTACTTATTTGTTAAGTAATTACATGAGGTTTAAAAGACATACAGTGTATACTGTTTAACATTAGATGAAGTTATTTAATTTTACATAACCTTTTAATAAAGACAATCTTGACTCTAGTCCGAATGACTAGCTTAAGACACAATGTCAATTTTTATTTTTGATCAAAACAAGCAATTGCATAGTAAGAAGAAAATTATCTGTGTAATATTTAAGATTCAAATAAAACATTAGGTTATTGAGATTCAACATAGACAACACAACATCCTATGTGTTTAATTGGCAGTCTAGTTTGTATAGAGCAAAAGCGCACTAGAAAGTGGTAGGCCTAAACATATGACTCCATTAGCCATCTCTATTAATGAATAATACATTTTTACTTACACCTTCAACTTCTTGTTTAGTTATTGTTGGAGCAAGGTTCCGCAGAAATATGGACGCTGTCCTATGCAGAGGCCTTGGCTTTGGAGAGTTGTCATCTTCTTTTTTCTACAAAATACATTTAGTTGAATTAATTACTGTACACTAACAGGTAGGCCTATATATTCAATTCACTACAGCCTATGTTTTGATTTTAAGGCCATTACACTAAATTTTAATTCAATGTTTGTTGTAACTTGTACTTCAATCTGATAACAACAACTTAAAACTAAAACATTACCACATCATTATTGACAAAAAATCCAAAAAGCTTAATGTATTTGTGTTAAAAGGCTACTTTAAGAAACTGAAAATACACAATGGTCAGACTTATTCATCTTTACAACTGGTCAAGTGAAAAAATGAATCCAAGTATATTATTATGACCTCTAGGCTATCACTACACCTTACTCTACCAATTTAAATTTTTGAATAGTTTTACCTCTTCATTGATAGTTTCTACAGTTCCTTTCTCAATCTTCTCCTCTGATTCTTCTGTTTTCTTCTCATCATTACATTCACCATCATCAACAGACATCTCATCATCTGAAAGTAGTTGACAACTTGATTAAAACTATACCCCTGGACAAGAACACAATAAAATGGGGCAGTAATTTTCTGTGAACAAACTTATTGATTGAGTACAAAACTGCATTAAAACCATAAATTCCCTGTTAAAACAATATTATTTGTTCTTCTAGATGAGTGAGAGCCAGAGATTGTTGATCGAGCCGAACTTTTTGTCAAACTGTGATTATTCAATCAATGGATTGGACGTAATGCCATTTAATACAATAGTTAGTCACCAATCCTCTTTCCAACATACTTAATGTTATGAATGTATTTAGACAAACAGTATTAAATTTAGTAGACTAATATGAGGTACATACCTTTACGTCAACAGCTCAATCGTAGTAAGTAAAACTCACAACATGTTTCGGCTATTCAGGCATCGTCAGGTGATATCCTAGCAAGAATGCTTTGTCTTCATCCATGATGGGGTCGTCAAGAAACATTTAAATATATATACATACACACATTACGCACAAAAACATTTAACAATTAGAGTAGGCCTAATACTATTAGTAGGCCTACTATTACCGGTCGCGGTACTGAGGCAGACTGAACTTGCTGGAATTATGTAACACCGACCCCTACTCCGTTATCAGTAGTTGTACTACAAAGGTCAAACTGTTCTTGTCTATTGTTGAAGGCTATTATGGCATTGAAAATAGAGAAAAATCACACCATAGATACAATTGACAATAGCCTGGAAAATTCTTCATGTTTTTTGACCATGTAGTACAACTACTGATAACGGAGGAGGGGTCGGTGTTACATAATTCCAGCAAGTTCAGTCTGCCTCCGTACCGCGACCGGTAATAGTAGGCCTTCTCTAAGTGTTAAATGTTTTCGAGCGTAATGTGTGTATGTTTAAATGTTTCTTGACGACCCCATCATGGATGAAGACAAAGCATTCTAGCTAGAATATCACCTGATGATGCCTGAATAGGCAAAACATGTTGTGAGTTTTACTTACTACGATATTAGTCTAATTAAACAGTTCAGGGGCTACATCATGAATTTTAATTAAATTTAGTTAGTCATAAATTTGGTATAATGTGCATTCATCAAATGTCACAATGTTAATGCAGTTACATTGCGACACTTGCCATCATCGTGTTGATATAATCACAAGCTGTCTCTTGCGATCGCAGAAAACTCCTGTTTCTCTCCTGCAGTCATGTAAACATCCTCGTCTTTAGCAATCGTGGCAAAATCCAGATCGTCTACTGTGATTTTGTAGACAATATCATCTTCCATGATTGCGACAAAACTCTGAACATTTCTCACGGTAGTCTAGACATCATAATTGTCTCCCTTGAACGCACCAAAACATTGAACATCTCCCACGGTCACAAAAAACATTATCACTGTCTTCTGCGATCCCGGAAAAATCCTGATCATCTCCTTCGGTACCAGAAACATAATTGTCTGGTATAAACCTTGTGAAATAAGGTGGTTTGTAATTTTATTCAGTTATAACCTTAAGAATATCCAGGGTATAGCTCTAAAGAAAAGGACCATAAATTTGAATACCGGTAATAAACTGATTTTCTGACATCAATGTAATTCAAAGATTATTTTTACCATATTACATTTGTTGCACTCACCAGCTTTCGTTTTCTCAGTTTCTTCTGGAGACTTGGGTGGTTTGTCATCCTCCTCTTCTGTTCCTCCATTTAAACTGACTGCTTCTGTGTCATCTACATCAAACAAAGAGACAATTTTGAAAATACTCAACATCCACAAATGAAATACTTAAAGGTAAAACTGCTTACATGTCAATCCAGTTACACACACATACAGTGTTAAATTCTTAGTTTTTGAGTACAAATTTTAGGAAAATTGTTACTTTGAGAAGAATTTATAGAAAAATTATATTCCCTTTTGGCGCTATCAAATATTAGGATGAATAGCAGAGTAGACATATAATAAAATACAAAATACAAAAAAAATAAAATTGTTGATGAATTTGGTTGGGTAAAAAAGAAAAAAAAGACTAAGCCATTGGAATAACATTAGTAGTACTATTGTATGGATTTTAGTAGAGGAAGTTTTGCAATACAGAAAAATTTCTTCTTGAAGAATTACTTCCTTATGAAAAAATGTTTTCTTTTGTTTTTTAGGTATAGCCTAGTTTTCCTTCTAATGAGCCTAAGTTAGACCATGAACCTGGTCAAGTTAAAGGTGATAACAACATAATACCTTATCTAAAAGCCATTACCCACTAATTGGCAGGATTTTAACTTGGTTCTCCAGTAAGCAGTAATATGCTCTAACCACCAACAACCTTTGGAAACATCTAAGTAATGTAGGTTGATATACAAAATAAATATTCAACTGAGCTGAACAGAATCATTAAGTGACAACAATAAGAGGGGGTGTATTTTCGGCATAAAATCTCTAGGGCATTACTCTGGGTATTCTGGGGTCAATGACCTAGATTTTAAAATGCTCACTCAAATAACTCTATGCAAACTAACAACATTGTCTAAAAGAGATATGGAGGGAGTGAGCTGGTTTAGTAGTAAAGCTGCAATGCTTCAGTCCACAATGTCACAGGTTCAAATTCTCCCAAATACTAATGGTTTTGCTAGAGTATGTGATAATGCCCAGACCCTCTAGGCCTAGCTTGAAGTAATGTGTAAAATGGTTGCGGGCACAAGCCTAGTTTCCTAGGATGAGAAGGAAGGATGTAAAAGAGGGTTAGGTTACAGATCTTGGATTGGCTGATAAAATTACAGTACAACGAACATACAGTTAATCGTCTTGATTAGTTTGGAATATCCATTTAACATAGTTAGGATTGTTTTATTCTTACCGATCGAAGATATTTTCTTTTCCTCTGACTCGTCTTTCGGTTTAGGTGATGAAGGAGGTGAAGATTCTCCTTGTGACTTATCATCTGTTTGCTTATCTTCGTTGTTTTCTTCTGTTTTCTTTTCACCCTCCTCACCTTCTTCTGAGGCTTCCTCCTTTACTTCTTGTTTTTCTTCTGGCTCTCTGTTGCACACAAATTGGAGTTGCAGTTGATTAATGACAACTATAGAGTAAAGAGTTATTCTAGATCATAGATAAAAACTGTGTTCCTTAACATTGCAAAGCTCAAGAACAGTGTTCTGTACTTTTTAGTAATTTGACCAAAACTATCTGGATATTTTACTTAAAGAGTGGCCATTTTATAATCAAGATTTGTGGTCAAATAAGTCACCATAAACTCATGTATCTATGAATCACAATAGTTGCTTAACAATGTACTAAGATGACTAGACATTGACAAATTGCCGTTGCATCTTCAATCTCACAGTTTTATGTAGCTTGGATTGTAACTGTTAGGATAACAAATTTTGGAGAGGCAAACTTACTTTTTGATCACAGCTTTATTCTCCTCCTCAGTTGAAGGTTGAACAACTGGGGCGGGAGGAGCTGAAACATTTCAAATAATTTATACAAACATGCATTATAAATGATGAAGGAATCACTTAACCTGACACACAAATAAATTCTGATAAATTCTAAGCTACTCTTTTGTTGCAATAATTTTAATAATATTATACACTGAAATTACCATACATAAACATAACAAAAAATTGTCTTCAACTAATCCATATGGAGTAAGCTACCATTTGCCATTGGGTCATCAACTAATGATACTATTAAAAGGTTTTAGCTAGTTAGTAACAAGATTAGACATACAATATTAGTAATATGGGATGTTTCCTTAAAACAGTTAAAACAAACAAAAAACACGTAAAAATACTATAATGGCGCGAAAAAAAACTATTTGCATTGACCAATAAAATAAACTAACAGATTAATCTTAATTTACAAGCATGGGGTTTGCCTACCTACTACTTCGTCCAATATTTGCAGGTCAAAGTCATTGCCTCCTTCCAGTTTGATAACCGCAGCGTCCAACAGTTTGATCAGCTGTTCTGATTGGTCCGCGTCTACGCTCACTTTGTCCAATCGTCCACTTTCCATAAACTCCATAAAAACCTCAACACGTTTCTAAAAAAACATCACAGCACTAAGCAGTTGGTAATATCCTCGTTAACTCCCCATTTCTGAGCTAAAAAGAAATATTTTTTTCTTAGTGTATTGCCTACAAATTTGTTTTGTATGAGTAATTTTTTTTAAGTAGTAGAGCTAGCTTGTTGTGTGCAGGGGCCTACACAAAATAACACTTTGTTCAACCTATACTCCATTTCACAATCACGGTGCAGTTTGTGTTCAAAGCCATGTATTTCAAATGGAAGTTTCAGCGACACTACCTGTCCTAAAAACATCAAGACCCAAATAACGCTTCTACTGTTTTTACCTTTACTTATCCTTATCTACTAGGCTTACTATATTAATTTTAACTTTACCAGAACTGAAACTAAATAATTAAGTCAACATCAAATCTGTATAATGCATATAGTTACAGAAGTTAAATATACTTTGTCTTGATGAGGGTCGTGAGGACAGTTAACGCTCACATGTTTTCAGTAATGTGAATAGCACGAAAAAATCTCCTATAAGAATTGTAGGGTGCATTGTGAATATGAAATTGTGTATTTAAACTCCTCTTTAGCCTAAATCATGGTAGATACAGTAGGTGTGGCTTTTTGTTCATTTTTTTAATTTGTCAAAAACATCACTTTTTTTTAGGGATGGACGGGATTGAATTTTTAGTTCGGGACGGGACGGGACGGGATTTTTATTTCCTTCCTGATTTTCGGGACGGGACGGGACGGGATTTTTTTCTGTGCATAAAAAGAAAGTACTGTATTGCAGTTACCAAAATAGACATACGAAATAAATGTTTACCATTTGTGGTGGCACTGATCTATAAAAACAAAAAAATGGGTAACAATTTACAGGTACCTATAGAAACTTGTGACTCGCGGGTCACGGAGTGATCGTCTGTATGACTCACGGTCACGGCGCGATCGTCGTCATGACTCCGCGGTCACGGGGTTGTCGTCGGTATGACTCCACGGTCACGGCGTGATCGTCGTCATGACTCGCGGTCACGGCGCGATCGTTGGTAAGACTCCGCGGTCACGGGGTTATCGTCGGTATGACTCCACGGTCACGGCGCGATCGTCGTCATGACTCGCGGTCACGGCGCGATCGTCGGTATGACTACGCGGTCACGGGGTTATCGTCGGTATGACTCGCGGTCACGGCATGATCGTCGGTTTGACTCGCGATCACGGCATGATCGTCAGTATGACTCCGCGGTCACGGCGCCATCGTCGGTAGGACTCCGCGGTCACGGCGCGATCGTCGGTAGGACTCCGCGGTCACGGCGCGATCGTCGGTAGGACTCCGCGGTCACGGCGCGATCGTCGGTAGGACTCCGCGGTCACAGCGCGATCGTCGGTAGGACTCCGCGGTCACGGCGCGATCGTCGGTATGACTCGCGGTCACGGCGCGATCGTCGGTAGGACTCCGCGGTCACGGCGCGATCGTCGGTATGACTCGCGGTCACGGCGCGATCGTCGGTATGATTCGCGGTCACGGCGCGATCGTCTGTATGACTCGCGGTCACGGCGCGATCGTCGGTAGGACTCCGCGGTCACGTCGTGATCGTCTGTATGACTCGCCATCACGGCATGATCGTCGTCATGACTCGCGGTCACGGCGCGATCGTCGGTATGACTCCGCGGTCACGGGGTTATCGTCGGTATGACTCGCGGTCACGGCATGATCGTCGGTTTGACTCGCGATCACGGCATGATCGTCAGTATGACTCCGCGGTCACGGTGCGATCGTCGGTAGGACTCCGCGGTCACGGCGCGATCGTCGGTAGGACTCCGCGGTCACGGCGCGATCGTCGGTATGACTCCGCGGTCACGGCGCGATCGTCGGTATGACTCGCGGTCACGGCGCGATCGTCGGTAGGACTCCGCGGTCACGGCGCGATCGTCGGTATGACTCGCGGTCACGGCGCGATCGTCGGTATGACTCGCGGTCACGGCGCGATCGTCGGTAGGACTCCGCGGTCACGTCGTGATCGTCTGTATGACTCGCCATCACGGCATGATCGTCAGTATGACTCCACGGTCACGGCGCGATCGTCGGTATAACTCGCGGTCACGGCGTGATAGTCGGTATGACTCTTGGTCACAGCGCGATCGTCGGTAGGACTTCGCGGTCACGGCGCGATCGTCGTTATGACTCCGCGGTCACGGCGTAATCGTCGAAATGACTTCGTCTCCTGCGTTCGCGGACCTATCGCTCGCAATAACGGCGTTATCGGCACTCGTGAAGCGGAAAAATCGCCGACGATCGGACCAAATCCCGTCCCGAAAAATTCCCGAGTCAAATGTAATCCCGTCCCGATAATCGGGAATATTTTTTTCCCGAAAAATTCCCGAAATTTCGGGACCCGTCCATCCCTACTTTTTTTTCTTTGCTTCTAAATATAGGAATAACACATCACAAGATCATGTGAATGATTTAATAAATCACGAACGTTGCTGCTAAGAAATGCTTAAGCTTTTAAGGCTATACAGGTTCAGTCTACAAGACTAGTGCTGTGTAGTTGCAGTCACTACAGTGATTTATAAATACTACATATAGGAAAACTACACTTCACAGAAAACCGGCATTAAGACAAGAACTAAAAATTTTTACTGTGAACTACCTTATTCAGATAAATCTAGGTCCACTGTAGCCTACAACGCACATTATGAATAGACAACTCGCTGCATATGCTCATAAAAATTTTATTTTTATAATTTATAATGTGATAAAATACATGTCATACACCTAAATTTAAATTAAAGGAATTGCCCTACCTTGAGTGAATCTTGCTGTTCTTGCTTCCTTTTGATCGATTCTTCAGGATGGTATTTTAGTTTGAACCTTTAACAATAATTGTGCAAATTACAAAACAGTTTCCTGGTTTGCCAACTTCCACAACACAAAAAGTTCTCCTTTTAATTTATTGAGTCTATAAGGTTTTTTTATTCTTGGTTTAAACTTGCACAGGCGTGTTTGCAGTTAGCAGCCATTAGACTAATGAATTATCGATAAAAGCCATCTTAAGACCAAAATTGCTATAAAAGAATTATCGAGATAACATACCGATGGTTTATAGACAGTTATAAAATATATCTTAAATCTATTTTTAAAACAGATAGGCTACTAATTGAGATTTATAAACAGTTTTGGCACGGCAAATAGATATTGGTTATTGGAGTAATTTAATCATATCGATCTATATAAATGAGAATATGTATTATTAGGTTATGTGTGGAAGGTGGCAGGAATGATATATTATTCAACCTGTAAAACGTTATTAATGTCTCTTGCTTACTCATAGTATTATAAATTATGTCTTCCTACAGTTTAAAATCAATAATAATCACGTATCGATATTTTTTCGATTTTGGATGATTAAGTAGGCTACCACTATAGATTAAAAAAGGCTATCACAGAGGCTAGGAACATATCAACTTTAATCACAATTTTGAAAACTTTTTAAAATCAAACAATAAACTATGAGTAAACAAGAGAAAAGCACAGAGTGAACGATGCAATTGTCAGCGTAGTCTATACCTCACCTGTATCAACATCTTGACGATTCGAAGAGGTGCGCGAAATAAATAAATACGCAACGCGAGTTAAAAATAAACGCAACTAAGGGTGATTGCATTGCGCGCAACCCCCTGACATATTGTGAAAGTCCTCTTGATGTGCACACAATACAATATAAACACAATATATCACAATATCAATATAGAAGTGACCAGCCTGTTGACCAGTATGCTGTAATAAAGATATCGGGTTAGCAAATCACTGCTACAAAACACAACCATCGGCAATCTCAAGCTTTCAGTCAAGACGACAACATTTATATTGTCAGTTCATATTTAAGGTGTGTACTAGGCTACAACAATAAATATTGTTTATAAATACTGAGGACAGGTGAATCTTGGTTAAAAACAACGTAGACATATTTCAATGTGTAAAATTTTAGCAGAAATTACAAATTTGAAGGAAAACATGTTTTTTTTAATTAATGGCCACTACAACACAGATCCTCTTCCTTTCTACAAGATTCATTATATTAATTAGGGATGGTCAAGTCTCAAAATTTCGGGAAATTTTCGGGAAATTTTAAATCTCGTTACACGAGACGAGATTTCTTTTTGGCCGAGATTTTTATCGAGACGAGAATAAAAAAAAAAAAATAAAAAAAAAATTAAAAACGCCTGCAGAAAGTCAATGCAATACCCGCAATACAGGAGCGTGTAGTAATTGCGTTTCCTTTGCGAAGGCGTTCTTATTTAATTAATTCTTTAAATGTAAATATTACTTTAATAACATTTGAGAAGTTTTGTTAAGTGTAAGCAGTGTGAGGAATGTTTTATTACTATAAAAAGTCAAAACAAGTAACTATTTTATAAAAATTAATATTGCTTTTATTTTATGATTTATTCTATTTTAGGATAAGTTGAACTCTATCCTAACTGATATCACTATGTTTCCTAATCGTAGGCCTTTTTAATAAGTTAGGCGTGATTAATAAAAAAATGTTATGCTGATGTTTTTTAATAAAAGATTGTAAATATTCTTGCCTATTATCATTATTTTTGTATTTAAACAGTCATCTAACAATGTTACAAAATCAGGTAAAAATTTTGAACGTGCATTTCCCGTTGTGTATGAGATGGGAAATCCCGTCTCGATCTCGTCTCGAAATTTTATGAGAAATAAAAAATCTCGTCTCGTCTCGTCTCAAACTAAAAATCCAATCTCGTCCATCCCTAAATTAATCAAATAATTTTCTTGTTTCGCTTAACAATGTCTGTCTAAATAACTTTAAAGAAAGTAGGCAAACATGAATGTGTATATTTGAAGCTAGAAAAGGGGAACAATTTTTATGATCCGCTAAATTATTTCACACAAGTTTTGTCAGAAAGTTATTTTGGAAATCAATATAGCCTACAACACGTTGAAAGCAAAGTGTACTTAATTTATGATAAATAATTACATGGCAGATAACTAACCGCGTACCTAATTACTTAAGGTTTATAATCCTCTGATTTTTCTATCTGAAGTTTGTAGTTTAAGTGTTTACAAGTCAAATTCAATCTACTTACCATTCTTCCTCCTTGTGAGCAACAAAAAACTCATTAAGCTGCTGCCGTCTGAACTCCAGCTTGTACTCATTATATTTACGGATTGCCTCTTCGTCAGATATATTATCATCTTGCGATTGTAAAAATGCTTTCAAAGACATCATTGGTGGCTGAGTTTCAGTTTGCTCGGCTCTGAAATCAAAAAAAGATGGTTAAAAATTAAGGAAAAGCCAATTGATAGGCTGATTAGGGGTATTAATCAAATTTGAACTTTAACTGCCAGTCTTCTTCTCACTTCTGATGACGTCTCAAACAGGGAAGAAACTTTTACTGTTTTGTGTGCGTTACCAAACCTAATCTTGACACTATCTACTAGGTAAGCTAGCTGATCTATATCCCTGTACATAATACTCTTAAAAGATGGTTAAGTAAGTTGTGGAATTAACCTAACAGCAGCCAATGACAATACTGATTAAACTCTGATCAGCTTTGGCTACCAATGAGTTGAAATGTTTCTGAACGACTGATAAGCTTACCTCTGAGCATTGTTAGTATATGGTGTTTGTGATTCTTGGCCCCCCCAAGACGCAGAATAGTTGTAGCTTGTATCTGCATAGGGCATCCTCCTGTCATCCCTGGAACAACCAAACATTAGCCTTCGTCAATGTATATGACGTAATGTCATACAGACGTTCTCAAGAAACTTATGTTTCATAGTAATGAATTAGGTTTTGAATTAAGCACGTAACATTGAGCACAAGGGCCAAAGATTTTCAGGATTTTTTAAAAATCAGAATGCTTTCTTTATGTCGGTTTAGTTTGGCAATCTAAAAAAATGTATTAAGCAACAAAATTTAGGTCTTGGGAGTAGTTTTCCAGTTTTCTATTGGTCTTGGTATTGAAAGTGTTTTTATGTATTTCAGTCAGTAGGCTATAGCTCAGTATACCTTATGCGTCACACACCTAAGCAACTGTATGTGGCAATCGGTAGGAAATGTTGAAAAAAGAGAATGACTAGATTGACTACAGTTACCTACCTATAAAGATTTTAGGGTTAATTTTGTTTTCCTTTTTACATCTACATTGATGTAATTTTTACGGGAGGTATTTAGCCCTACAGTAGCCTACTCTTAACGCTTTTAGAGAAAGCGGTCTTAACCAATGTATCGTATGGATGTGATGGGAACTGATTCATCCCAGTCCAAGATACTAAACACTAACAACACGCCTTTCTACAACAATGTAAATAACATGCCGTTTATCTAGCCACTAACCACTCAGTCCTGATCCTCTTGGGAGGTGGGGAGAAGTCATGTTGTCTGGCTGGACTGTACCTCTCCCTGACTGTACCTCTGTAGTCACCACGAGCTCTACTGCGTCCACCTCCCCACGTATCTCTGAAACAAAAACATTGGTTAACTAGTGAAGATTAGACTTACCTACATCAGTATAACATTTCACCAAGAAGGGAATTTTAATTGAATTGGAATCACAGTAAGAATTCAAAATCTGACGACAGAACAGTAAAAATCCCTAACCACTGGATTCAAAATCTAAAACTGCTTGTCCAGTTGTCTGTTGAAGAATATAATTTTATTTTTTGAGACAATGTACCATACACACTTGGGCGCTTGTACCCATATAGCGCCACGTGGCTACATCTCCTAAGAATTCTAAGGTTTAACTTCGTCAAAAAAGCTACAACACAGACGAATTATCAAAAGTACAAGTTGAAAAATACGGAAATCCAATTCATGGATATATTTTGATCAAACTTGGTAAATTAATTTAGCTATTTTATACTGAGTTGTTAATGTTTTACCAAAAAACACACTTTACATTGAATTGAAAATCAATTCAGGCAAATGAAAGTTCGCTTAGTCGGCAGGTTTGCTGCAGCAGGGGTATTTTTAATTTATTTCTTGGCTGTCAACAGTTACCTTAGGCCATTAAAATCAGTAGGCCTATAGGCCTAAGTGTTGAGATAACTGTTTTTTATTTTTTGTGGTAAATTTCTGATGGATGGGTTGGCATCACTGATGTTGCATCATCTGTTGTTTACAATACTTGCCGCTGAGTCATCCTTAATTGTTTCTCGCAGACAGTCTGTTTAAGTGATCTTGAGAGAGGTAACGTCCCCAAAAACTTGTTAAAACGGACCGTTTAAATGCATAGTATATATACAGTATTTGACTTAAATTTAGGAGAGCATTGTATTTAGACACGTGATCAATGGTCTCAAATCTTTCCCATGAGAACAGTCGTTTCAGTACCGCCCACTTCCTGCCGATCTAGTCAGGTAAAACCGATGTGCTGATAAAAATTGTCCGGTTAAAGAGATGCCATTTCCACCGAGTATAGTCCGGTTAAACCGATAACCGGTTAAGAGGTGTCCGGATAAGAGGGAGTTTGCTGTATCAAGATTTTTTCATTAGGGATTTATTACATTAGCCTAACCTTTGTAACAGATTAACAGTTTATTAAAAAAATGTCTTTCCTAAACTAAATTTACAAGCGTTAGATGTATATATTACATAAAAATGAGTAGGATGGCTAGAAAAGTACAAAATAAATGTATTTTCTCTAAACTAAAAAAATAAAGTAACTAAGGTAAGTGCCCTAAATACCAACACTGCACCAAATACCGACACTTTCACTTTTACACTGAAAAAATAAGCTCACATACGTCTCCACTAACCTAATATTTAGATAGCTGTGAGCGCCGTGTTTTTTTCTATGATCGAGAAGAAGAAGAATCCGTTCCCTCCTTTTCTGAGTTTGAGCGAGTTGAATACGTCGGACGCTGTATGTCAACTGTGATTTCAGGTAAGAAACTTAATGTATTTCACTAGGAACATAGAGTTCTGCTTTAGAGATTAAAAGTTTAAAAACATATGTACGTGGGTTGACAGTTGGTTTAATGATCACGTCAACATTTATACTTTTAAAATCAATATCAAAATATTGAAATCTAACCTGTTTCTCCTTAATTTTAATGCTGTCGGTATTTGAAGCAAAATTTCGTCATTTCGCCAAATACCGACGCGGCGCTGTCGGTATTAATTCCAATACGTTTGTACGCAAAATAATACCGACACTTGTTTGAAAACAAGTACAAACTGTCGTGATTTAATTCTTTTACTACTAATAATAAAACAAATCTTTATTTTTTATACCGAACTAGCCTTTCTACTACTTGAAGTTGTTGACATAATTATTAAATGTTTTTATTGTCGTTATTTTTTAAATTGTGTTAAGAAATACAAAATCCAATAACTTACATGTTAAAGTTGACAACGAAAACAAACACATATACCGGTATAAATAAATATAATAATATATACACAAATGCTGTGTTTTGATTTTTTTTTTTTTTAGAATGCCTGCAACAAAAACGCCCCCGCCAAAGAAGCGGAAGCAGTATTCTGACGAAGATATGAAAGGGGCTATTCTGGCGGTTAGGAGCGGTACCGACACGGTGTCATCCGCGGCAAAACGGTTTGGAGTACCTAGGGTAACGCTCCATGACAAAGTGTCTGGGCGTTACGACGAAAACTGTAAGTTGGGTAGGAAGCCAATTCTCTCTTAGGACGAAGAAGACATCCTAGTGAAATGGGTTTTAACATGTAAGACGAGAGGTTTCCCCATCACTAAAGATCAACTCATCCATAGTGCTGGGCGGATGCTCACCAGCACGGGTAGGCCTAACCCATTCGTCAACGATAAACCTGGCCGTCGATGGTATGAACTCTTTATGGGCCGCCACAAAAACCTCGCCGTCCGGGAGTGCCAGACCCTGACGACTTCACGTGCTGCCATCACTGAGGAGAGGGTCGCGGAGTGGTGTGCAGAAGTAAAAAGGTATGCAGAAGAAAAGCAGTTGATGAGTGTCTTCGAGGATCCGCGGCGAATCTTCAATTGCGACGAGACCGCCTTTTTTCTTGCTCCCAAAACAGGGAAGGTCATTGCCGCAAGAGGAGACAGAAGTGTTTACAATGTGGCAGGCAACACGGACAAAGAGAATGTTACGGTCCTTATGACAGTTAGTGCGGACGGTGGCGTTGCACCACCAATGCTATTGTATGCATACGAACGTATCCCGGTACAGGTAGGGATGGCTGTTCCAGATGGGTGGGCATTAGGCAAAAGTGAGGCAGGATGGATGACATGTGAGTCATTTTTTGAGTACATGGCAAACACCTTTGAGCCATACCTGACCGCCAACAACGTACCGCGACCAGTGATCATGTTCTTGGACGGTCATGTATCACATATGTCCCTAGAGTTAAGCGAATTTTGTACATCCAAAGAAATTGAGCTCGTGGCCCTTTTGCCTAATGCCACACACATCTTGCAGCCATTAGATGTTGCTGTTTTCCACCCGTTAAAAACGGCGTGGAAAAAAGCTGTTGGCGAGTGGCGGTTTCAAAATTCATCACAGAAAGTGAGAAAAGAAGATTTCCCGGCCATTCTGCAAACCGTCATCAATTCCACCTTAAAGCCGGAAACCATTAAACACGGGTTTAAAACTTGCGGCTTGCTAAGTTTGAGTGTCCAAGACATTGACTTGACTAAAATAGTTGGGAACTTGGCCCAAAAGCAAAAACCACAATCGGTTGTAAAATCAAATGACGATGTGGAAAAGATAAATACCGCGTTGGTGTATCTCGAGAAGAAGATAGGGAGTGAGAGAATGAAGGTTTTTAGGCGAGGTGGGCCTGTTAAAAGGCGTGATGAATCTCTATTTGAGATATGGAGAGGTATTAGAGAAGATTTGAAAATTGCAGCCAACGATCTTCCAATCAATCAAGACACTACAATTGATCACGTTGAAGACCCCGACGCCACAATCGGTCCCAATGATGAACACGACGCCACCATTTTGCCTGAAGAAGCAGACGCCCCTAACGTTCTCACACCAGCTGTGGAGGCAGATTTCAACTTTGACATGACTCTGGATGACTTAAACGAGACCATTGTGCTGAATGAGGAGCTATTTGAAGACTTGGGCCTCGGTCAAAACATGGTTGTTGAGTTGGATTTGCCAGTTACTGTTATTTCTAACCCGATTTTACAAGATATAAAAAACTCATCATTGGCTTGTCAACCAACCCCCTCCGAGCTTTCGACACCATCTACCTCACAGGCTGCCAGAAGTCAAACGCCCCCGCCATCTACCTCACAGGCTGTTAGAAGTCAAACGCCCCCGCCATCTACCTCACAGGCTGTTAGAAGTCAAACGCCCCCGCCATCTACTTCTACTCAGGACGTTAAAGACATCATTCCATCGCCTTTCAAGGACTGTGTTTTTTGGCCTGGTCCAAAAAAAGACTCTGGCAAAAAGAAGAAAAGAAACAGCGTAAAAATGCCTACAGTCATGACATCTGAAAGCTGGAAGGTGTATCACAGAAGCCTAGCAGAACAAAAAGCAAAAAAAGCTAAAGATTTAGAAGAAAGAAGAGAAAGAAGGCGAAATCTACAAGCCATGAAAGAACAGACCGTGAAACTGAAGAAAGAAAAGACGAGCAAGAAGAAACAAGAAAGAGAAGAAGCTTCATCTGAGCTCGACGAGAATGACTACCCTCAACCACCAGTTAATGAATTTGACTTTGACAAACTTTCAAGTGCAGAAAGGCCCAACACAAAGGATATTGGTGTAGGACATTGGGTCGTAGTACCATATCCAACTGCTAAACCCGATCAAGACAAAAAATATATTGGTCAAGTGCTACGTGTTCTTCAAGACAACACGGCTGAAATTAAATATCTCGCCCGAAGAGGAGAAAAATTTATTTGGCCTGAAGTGGATGACGTTGACGAAGTCCCTTTTGTAGAAATAACAAACATTTTGAAAGAACCACTATTTGACAGACGAGGGTACCTTACTTTTAGTTCGTAAGTAAACGAACAGTGAATCAACTGAACAAGGTATTTTGTACATATAGGTAGTTAATGTTGAGTAGGTTAAGTTAAAACATTTTGAAATCGTAAAATTGCATTTTCTTCTTTGTTTTGCTGTAGGCCTATGTTTAAATTTCTTTGCCTGAATGTTGTTGTAGAGCCTTTTTGTACATAAGTTGCTACAGATATTGTAAATTTTGATTAGTCATAGTTAAACCCATTTAAATTTGTAAAAGTGTATTTTATTCTTTGTTGTAGGTTTTAATCCTTATTTGCTTGTATTTGTATTTGTTTGTGTTGTTTGACTGTTGATGGGTTTTTGTACATAATTTGTACCACAGACTTTGAAATGTTGAGTAGCCTAAGATAAACCACGGCCGCCTTTGTAGTTAAAGGCGGCCGTGGATAAACCCATTTGAATCTGTAAAAATGTATTTTCTTATTTGTTGTGCTGTAGGTTGTAATTAATATTTGCTTGTAATATTGTTGTAAAGTCTTTTGTACATAAGTTACTACGTACATTGTGAATTTTGATTAGTCTAAGTTTAACCCATTTTAATCTGTAAAAATGCATTTTCTTCTCTTCTTTGTTGGTGGTTTTATTCATATGTTCATGTCGTGTGATTTTATAGAATAAACAATGATTTTATGCAATATAATGCAATTGATTACTTTCCACATCTTATTATATAAGCTAACATGTAATTGAGTATAACTCGGAAACTAAGCAAACACTACTCTAGGTGGTCATGGCGAAGCTATCGTCATCGGCTGCTAAGCTGTATGTCGGTGCTAAGCAGTGTGTTTATTTTCGTCAGATGTCAATGTTTTTACTACTGATCACGATTGTTATTGTTAAAAATACCCTAACTTACTTTTGCTAAAGGTAAAAAGACATTTTGATACGACTTTGAGCATTTGTTTTCAGCAAAAATACTAAGTGACTTTTGTTTAGCAAGATCGTCAAACATAACCTGTTGGCTAAGGATAATTTTTTAGGGTGGTGAATGACAAAATATTAAGATACGAGTGGTAATTCAGGAAATTGAAAACACAAGGAATCTTTAAAAATACATTTATTACAAATACAAAGTTACCTTGTAGTTTAAATCCCTCTTATAAACATACTGTCGGTAATTAGGACATGAGATGTCGGAATAATTTTCATTGTTGTCGGTATTTTTTGTAAAGTTGCATATTTGCTACCCAACATTTAAATGCTTATAAGTAGTTAAAACTAGGGTTTTTATTTCATATTTTGATGTTTTTTCATTGTTAATATTATGGCAAATTGATTTATTCCATTAAAAACAGGTTTTACATAACCTTAATATTTTTTATGACCTAAGACAGCTTATTTCTGGTCTTAGGGTGTTGGTATTTGGGGCACTTACCTTAAGTAAAAAGAAGTTTTTTCATTTCCAAATTCATGATTCAATTAACATTAACAAAACCACATGAAGAATAATTAATAATGAAGTTAAAAAAAAAAAAATAAATAAAATAAAAAAAAATAACACTTTAGTCTTTGACTGAATGATGAACTAATTGAAAATCCTATTTATGTTGCAAACATGTTTGATACTTACTTTATAGATGTTGTAGATAGCATAAGTGCTACACAACCTTTAGATAAAAAAATAATTTATAAATAAAAATACTTTTTATAAATGTCATGTTTTTAAACGCACTAAAAAGTTGAAAATAATTTTAAAATATGTGGAGAGGATAAATACTTGTAAGATTTGAAACAAAAGACGTGGGGCGCAAGCAGTAGATAATAATAGTTCAATAGGTGAAGATGTTTGTAAATTAGCATGCGCCACAAGTTTTTCGTTTTAAATCTTAGACTCATTATCTTCTTCATTAGACCATCTCATTGGCTGATTACCGATAGAGTGTGTGGCTTATAGGTTATAGTTGTTTCTCAGAAGTCATCCCTACCGGTCATTGCCTAGCTCACATCAGCTGGGAAAGGATTTTGAAAATCGATGCTCATGCTACTGTTCAACTCTGTTCACACCAACTGAGTCGACTAAGTGTAATGTGAACAGAGTGTCTGCGTAGATGATCACCGTGGAAACAGGGTTAATCCCCTTTCTTACAATATATGTCACTACAATTATGTTCATAAATCTTAAGAAAAAGAGGTGTTAATATACCTAATCAACTTTAAACATCATATAGAAGTGGAAAAACGTCAAAATGTACAGTAAATTTTTTAACCCCAACAAAATTACTGATCGGGTAGTGAGTAGGGCTTCGCCCTGCAGTCGTCTCTGGCGATGGTTAAAATTACACAGGTAAGTTACAACATTAACAGTAACTTACATTTTTAAAAGGTAGGCCTACCTTACTGCAAGTACAGTATATAAAGCCTTTCCAAATTCTATTTTTATTTCATTGTCTTTTTAGAATATTTTGCATGCTGAATCTGAAAATACCATTTGAATTTGTCGGAGACAGCCTTGTGTACCTGAAAACTGAAATTAAAGTTTACAAATCCATAAGGAAATTAGGAGCCTACCTCTCTATCCAGTCATCTCTTCTTCTATCTTCTCTTCTTCCTTCTCCACTTCTGTAAGATTCTGTTCTTTCACCACGAAATTTGTCACGACGTTTTCTATCTCCATACTCGTCATCGCTGTCACCCATTTCTGAACACAAAAATATAGGTTTAAGTTAATTGTGAGCTCAACTGTCGCTAGACTTCAGAGGCTATGAGTGAGTTGCGCAACAGTCCCCCTACAGTAGGGCCTAACCTAAATTAGCCTTAGCAGTGGCCAATGTTAGAAGTGTGAAATTGCCAACCCATTTGACGATTTTGCAGACCTTTGTTTGAAAATTCATAAAAATTCAACCGTAGAAGTAAACCTAGCCAACCTCATATTTCTTTTGTTCAGAAATAACAGGAGATTCTAGAAATATAGGTAGGCTAGTAATATAACAATGATTTATAGTTCGGCCGCTTAGAAAACGACCTGCGCGCTAATGCTAAACCAATGCTGGAGGAGGTCGTTTTCTAAGCGGCCGACCTATAGTAAGTCTTTTTTCTTCAGTAGGCTAAAGTGAGAGAATAAAAAGAATTTTTAAGTAAAGAATAGGCTACTTAAAAATACATTTTAAGTAGTCCGGGTAAAATTTTTTCTACAGATTTTTTATGGTGGAAATTCATACATTTTAAATGTAGACAATCTAACTTAATTCCCTACATAGAAATATATAACAAGTTAGGAAAATATTTTGTTTCGTAAGTTTTTTGGGCATATAATAAAAAACGGAGAACCGAAAAAAAAAAAATTGAAAACCGTGTACAGCGTTAGTTTGTTAAAAAAAATTTATCATAAACTTAATATATGTAAGTTACTAATAAGTTAATGATATTTACATATTTGAAAAACTAAAAATCAATACCACAATGAAAATAAACTCAATGGCTATCCAGTGGTACCACCCGCAACATCCCAATACCAAAAATTAACCTGAGCAGGGTAAGTTAATGCCAAACAAGTTGTGTGTGTGTTTTTAAATTTCCCGAGTGTTGACTGCAGGAATGGCGTAGTCACCAAAATGTCATTGTAATTACCGTACCTATAACCGTTATGACATTGTTATACAGCTTGTAACAGTTAATTGATGTTTAACTTAATCAAATGAATGTTCAGAATGTGATCTTTCGTATCCTGGTAGGTTAATAGGCCTAAGTGTTCACTTCTGAGTTGATTCAGTTATTAACTTAGGCCTAGTGGATTTTTAGATACTTTCCTGTTAAAGGGAACATTCATTATTATCGATGATTTTTTTTGGATATATTGATATTTTATTTTTTTATTCAATAGCTTAACTTACCATAGGCTACCTATATTGATATTAACAGTTTGAAACTTATCAGCTGACAACTAGGGTAGGGCCTACGATAATGTTCAGTATCGACAAACAATAAAAAAATATTATATTGAAATGAAACTGTTCTAAACCAACCAAACTTGCTGTAACATTTCAAAATCCCGTTTGATAGACTGTGCCTTTTCTGTTATCAAACGGAATTTCGAAACGGTAACTTAGCCTACAGCAATTTTGGTTAGTTTATGTTCTAGGTTAGGCTAATTTAAAATAGTTCCATTTCTAAATTATATATAGGACTATAGGCTATTATTTTTGCATAAACATGATTAAGTTACCTAGTTCTCAATCCCATTCTCTTATACGACCTTCAGTAACTCAGTAACTCGGTTATTGAACCAAGTATAACTTAGACATTTTTGCTTTCTCTGTATTTCTGTAATTCTTTTGAATAAATTAAAACAGATGGAATATGGATCATAAAGGAAAAAAAATGCCGATAGCCTATATAGGTATCGATTAACCCTCCAAGTAGTGTCTCTAGTTTTGGTCTTAATGTTCGCCCATTTATTGCGCAATCGCAGGGTTTTATTAAAATGTATTTTAGAAACCTTAAAAACAATGTAAAGTATACTATATAATTTTGTTTGGAAAATTATGGGCTTCAATGTAGGCTAACATATAAAACATTACAAAAAAAAATGTTCCAACAATTTTTGTGTGGTTAACATTTCTCAAAAAGGTACCTACTTGAGTATTAAACGGAGGCCACATTTTGTCAGCGCGCTGCGGCGGTTATGTTAGGTTGGGTTATCATAATAGAAAGTATAACTCGTCTGGTATCGTTCGATTCATAACGAAGCGAGGAAATTCCTACACACATAATATTTACGATAACCCAACCTAACATAACCGCCGCAGCGCGCTGACAAAATGTGGCCTCCGTTTAATACTCAAGTAGGCCTACCCTCAAAAATTATAAAATGAATGAAAAAAATTTATGTTTGCGATCAATTGTTATAATTTATAGGTCTTCAAATATTTTTAAATAGCCACTTTGTTCAGAATTTTATGAGGATTCCAAAAATATAATATTAACCCTTAGAGTGCCAGGCGAGAAATAAAAGTAACGCTCAAAAAATGCCGATGATTTTTCCCGAAGTCGCGCTAAAAATGCCGAGCGCGATCTGGCGATTTTTAGGTTAAAATTTCGTAAAAATCGAATTTTCGATATTTCGACCAACGAAAATCGATGTATCGCATCTAGTAACTTTCGACTCAATGTTAATATATGGGTTAAAAGAATCCGAGTATCCATTCGGTTGTTATGACAACTGTTCGATCATTACGAAAAGTCCGGTCAGCCGGACGTTGGCACTTTTGGCTCGTTTTAAAAACGTCCGGTCGGCCGGACGTCGGCACTTTTGGCTCGTTTTAAAAACGTCCGGTTCCCCGGACGTTGGCACTCAAAGGGATATAAGGAAGTAGGCAAATAAATAAGTTATGGGCAAAAAACAGATTTCGGTACAAAGCGTTTAGCTAAGAATGCATAGCCCAACCAGCTTGGAATCTGGCTGATAATTTACATCAATATCACTATCTACTTCTTCAGGATCATCAACCAGCCCTTCAAAATCACTTAAATCTTCTTATAATGCACCACGTATATCACTACTTTTGATTATTAACACTAAAAAACAATGATAAACGTAATAAAACACATCAGTCATCAGTGCGAGGTTAACCAAGCTGTTTCAAATACGCACGTCAGCTGTCTGCTACAATATTTTCGGAACTAAAATGAAAAGCGTATAGAAACAGACATCAGGAGAGAGCTCTGAATCTTCTGAAAAAAAAAACTAGGCTATACCTAACTCGATCCAGTTCAATCTGATTCAGTCAGTCCCAGAGCCGTCGCCGTAAACAGTGTTTGTGAGTCGCAAAAGAGACACATAACACTACAGCGGATGTGTTAGCCTATGAGTCGCTTTTACGACACATAACACTCGGAGGGTTAAGAAATGGGTACAGTTTTTTAACTGGGCTATGCTAATAGGCCTATTGATTAAAACTATCAAATTGAAAATATTGATAAATAATCGATATTGGTTTTTAAATATTTTTAAGTATAAAATAAAACTATCATAACCTAACCTAACCAACCAAACTTGCTGATGGTGAAAAATTGCATGAAGGTTTACTAATCAAACCGATAGTTTCAATCAATATTAGCATAGCCCAGTTAAGAAACTGTACCCAACACATTACAATTGTTGCCCATTATAGGCACAACTGCTAGGCCTAGGGTTAAGTTAGGCTAGATGTTAATTGGGCAACTGTTGCAAGACACAAAGTCGCCTGGCCTTACACAACCTTTTTTACTAAATTCTTTACAATTTTACTAACACATTAGTTTAGGCCTACATATACTAGCCTATTAGACCTATAACTTAGCCTAGGAATGTTGAGAAAGTAGGTCAAGCTAGGCTGGGCAAATCTGAAGATGAACCTAGGCTTGGCCGGTTTACTCAATTCTTAAAAAGCAAAATCTCTTGTTTATAAGGTTTTTATATACATTATGAATAAACTAAATGTCTAACGTTTTAATTTATCTTATGTTGGAATAAACTTAGCTAGAAAATCATAATCCCGTAAGTGCCTAAGCTTACCTGCAAATTTAGGGATGTGGACGATACACTTGTGATAGTATTCCTAGATGAGAAAATAATGCACTAACTTAGAACAAAATGGTATGCCGTAAACCAGGTGTCCTTTTAAATTGTTTAACTAGTTTTAATGAAGATTTAACATAAAATTTCAACTTTTAAGCTTTCACTAGCGATAACTTAGTGAAGAACATCGAGGCATCAGAACAGAAATCGAGTTTCGATTGGAGGAGGAGGAGGGGGGAGGAGGCGTCAGGTTCAGTGGTCGGAGTGGTTCAGAGATTTGAAATGGACTGGAGTCAGTGGAGTTTGGAGTCGGATTGGAGGATGGAATGGAATGGAAATCGGACTCAGACACGGAATGGCGCCGGCGTGGCGATCACGGCCGCCTTTAAAGGCGGCCGTGGTGGCGATCATCGATGGTGGCGATTCAAGGAAATGACAACAATGGCGACAGGGCAGGGGTGGACCACCGATGAGACGGTCGACCCTAGTCACGGCCACCTTTAAAGGCGGCCGTGCCCTAGTTCAAGCATAGATTAAACAAACATACCCTCTTATTTAGTTAGTAAATGGTTTGAGCTAACAAACTAGTACACAGTTTGATTTATTTATAAGCGGTTGCACCATTTTTACGAGAAAAATACAATGTCTTACAGAAAGAAGAAGCAGAGGAAAAAAAATCACAGGCCAGTACAAAAGTAGTGAAAAAACTGGAAACAAGACTTCAACAACAAGACATAAAAGATAAATAACAACTATAAATAACAAACAATCTAAACAAGTTGACAAAACAAGAGATTCGAAAAACAAAACCAGTATAGGAACAATAATGATAGCAATGCAGTAAGCCGGGTAAAACTTTAGTAAAAGAGGCAGAACAATCTTGATGAAAAACAGATAAAACTTGCAGAAAAATAACAATATGATATACTCTGTACAAGAACAACAGGATAGACTATATTAAAAAAAATAACAATGCAATAAATATAAAGTTTGGAAACATGCAAAGATTGATGCAGGAGTTCAGGATGGAGTAGGACAAAGGTCGGAGGTAAGCATTTCCCTCTGCAAACCGATGCCAACACACGCACAACCCCCGGATCCCCCCACTGTCCCCACACTATTGACATAGACTCATTGAACCACCGTGAACACATCCCCACAGATGATTTCTAGTTTACGTTGAGGCTAGTTGTATTGAAGAATGGAAGTCGCTCTCCGTTTGAAGGCAGCTGGGCTCAGGCCATCGAAGAAATCCAGATGAGAAGCTACCATTTTGCCAAGACATGGCAACAGTTTTGTGAGTTTTGTGTAAGAGTTACATTTGTACCCTAATGAAACGCCCATACAATAATGCAGTCTATAGCATATGAATCGAATTCAAAGGCGCCCTATTGAAAATATATTCCATTCCTGTGATTGAAAGGTAAATAAACCTTAGAAACTACTGGTTATTTTGGTTCGTAAAAGTATTTTAAACCCAGCCTGTCTTCACTCTCTCAATCCATTCATACTTTGGTTAAAACTATGTACTTGTACAGTTTTAGCATTTAGGAAGCATTGCCATGATCAAAGTTGCCATGAAGTTCCTTGGATTGTTCTTAGACGAGATACTTAGATTTCATGACCATATCAAATACTTAAAAAATCTCAATTCTGGTATTTTCATTCTGCGTAACCTCAGGAACAATGAGAATCTGGAGATAATGTTGACGGCACCCACTATGGGCTAATTTATCCTCACCTAGCATACCGTACGCCGTTCCTATTTGGGGTTGTGAGTGCCAGCAGACTAAAATGCTGTTTAAACTTAAAAATGGCTGTGAGAACTGTTTTCTCTCTACAAAGGCGCAAATCATGCCGTAAATGTTTTTTCAATTGAAAAATTTTGACATTCCCATCTATTTTACATTCTTGAATCTTTAAAATTAGTGAAACAGGAATTTTCTAAATTTGACTTTTCTGTAAAAAACCAGTATACATTACGCAAACCGATTGACATGTTTTTGGTGTCATTGGAAAGAGCGTAACGTGAAGTTGTGCTGGAAACTTTCGTTTTAGGGAAATAATTAGAGAGTGAGGCCCCGGGGCCCTTTAAAGTTTCGCATTTCTCCATAAGATAAACTTAGGAAACAAACATTGTTATGAAACTCCAGCTGTTGTCAGAAATTAAAAGTGAGAAGAAGAACACGTTAATTGTAAACAGTCAATAAGTTTGCTAATTTTAACAGTTTGCTACAAACATTTACTGACTTGGTTGAAGTGAAATATTTACTATTTGAATTTTTGGGTTGGCGTAAATATTACAATGGAAAAAATCGTGAGAGCCTGGATAGTTTGATATACTAAAAAGAAAACTGAATTAACACTATGCTGCATTTCTAGAAAGAGCCGATTTGCAAACTGCAGTCATTAGATATTCCTCATGGTGGAGTTCGTCAAAAGTTTATAGTAAATAAATAAATACATAGACACGACATAAAAACACAAAAACACGAAACTGAACATCTATATATAAAGCCAAAAGTACCCATGAACTTTTAAGAATACTACAAGTCACACCCCCATAAACCATATACTTAAAATGTTCGTCATGACGAGAAACCTTGCGCAAAATTATCCATTATTTCATAAATTGCCCTTTAAGGTCGTAATTCCTTTCTAAAGGGAACTCTTCATATACCTAATGTTAAAAATACCTCAGCTGTACTTATTTGTTTGTGTATTCTTTCAATTTATTACCTTATTAAAATCAAGTGCGATTATTTTTTGTTTTACTGTATTTTGTTAATTTCATGTTAACTTAACCAACCAATAGTTTTATTGACACTTATGAAGTCAAACGGGATGAAGCCCGTGGGTAACAGCTAGTTTATTTAACACTGGTTATGGTGCCGTATCACGTGTTTGGTTACCATTTGGTCGACCAGTGTTAAATAAATGTTGAGTTTCGTGTTTTTGTGTTTTTATGTCGTGTCTATGTATTTATTTATTTACTATAAACTTTTGACGAACTCCACCATGAGGAATATCTAATGACTGCTTGACATTTTCCCGACCTGAAGATGTGCTCCTGCAGCACGAAACAGCTGTAGTCACTACGAACTACATAGGATCGTTTTGGACAGAACAAGGTAATTTAAACCACTATACGTTATATGGTTAGGCCTATTCGTGTAAGGACATATATGCAATCCCGTTTTGGTTGGGCTCTATTGCTCCATTGTCAGTAACAAATTGAAGCAATTCCACAAACCACCAACGCCGCCTATCGCAGTGTTCGATAGCCGCGAACAACACCTGCCCAATCTTCTCAATATACGACCTTGTTACAGACATGTTTTGACCATGTTGAGTGCTGTGTTTACAACTACATTGACTACATAACCTTAATTTACACCACATTGTAAATTAAGGCACAAACCTTGTCTTCCTACGGTCAAAACATCTTTGAAAACATAGTTGGATGACACAAAGAGTTTAATGCCCGAAACGATTAAACAGGAAGTAAAAATAATATTGACTTTGGATTACTTTGAGTATACCCACAGCCACCTTTAACTCCAGGCTACGGCCTTCGAAGTGGCAACGTCGCAATGGTCGCAAGTAGTGTTGTTACAGCAGTTTTATTTGGAGCTGTTTTGTTACAGCTAATGGTATTTGTGTATTTTTTAAGAATATTAAAGCTTGGTTACTGGGCTATGAAAATATTAACTCAATTTTAAATGTATAGAAATAGATTTAAAATATATATTGTTTTGGTTTTCAATTCTATATGTTTTATTTTCAATCTTTTAATAAATTTATATTTTTTATCAATTTAAATTTAAATTAATAGTACGCGAATTAATGAGCTGGGGTCACCTGTCTGCCATGTTATTTTATGGGACGTCTGGCACTGAACAACACCACTTGCGACGTTACCAACTCTACCAGGCCACGGCCGTGGTATACTCCTTACTCGATTTTAAAATCTTGAGTGATGTTTTGGCTTTGTTTTCGATGTTTCGTGCTGGTGCCTGTGCTTTCCACTAGGTTAAGAAATAGCCAATGAAATGCTTGGTTTGAATGTAATGTAGCCTAATATAATATTATTAGAATGGAATAACACCTAAGTTGGCAAATTAAATATTAATAAGTCAGAAAAATGTTTCCCAAAACTACCTTTTGCCAAACAATATAAATATAAAATATATGTCTAACTACGACCGTTGTTGGCATAGTCTGTGATAACGAAAGCAATAAATTAGTCAACCTGAAGTACTCAAACTTTTAGTTTTTAATAAAACAACAATTATTCAATGCTAAAACTTTTTAATATACTTTGAATTGAAACATGTTCTACAAAATTGATGTTGCAATTCTAACATTGGAGTATGATTTCAAAAGAAGGATCATCTCTACGCAGAGAGACATCCCCACTACTCAGGACTACCAACTTATACCGTAAAACAAAATAGTTGTTATAATATAAACTCATAAAAAACCAAATATTAAAGTACTCTTGTTCAGACCCTGATTTATTGAGCATTGTTAAAGTTTAGTTTAATTTTGTGCTTGTATACAATTAATTCATATCACACCGGTCATGACGAGAGATGTAAGTGGCAGAGCACGTTTGGTACAATGTAGTTTAGTTTTCATTCACTGGCACACGTTCTGTATGCCTAGGCCTTGCACCAGGGGTAGGCTACATGACACTAACAGCCCATATATTTTCACCCACATGTGGTGTTGCCAGCCACATTACGACGTTATCGGGTTTAACATGTCATTTTTAACATTTCTGTATTGAGCTCATGGTGGCTTTTAACTTATGTAAATTTAAATGGCTTTTTGCTTTTTGCAAACTTGATTACGCTAGGGCTTTCATCATGAACAAAGCTTGTTTTAGTATTATTTTACTAATAGATATTATATAGAATATTTTTGGAGGTATAGACCCACAACTTAATTGATCTAGTGTACCCTGTAAATCTATTGTGTCTGATGGTATATGCAAATTTGTACGTACGAGGGAACCAAACTATGCTCGTAGTTTGTTTAGGTGGTCAAAAAGTATAAAAAATACGCATCTATATAATGAATACGCGACCACGAAGTTTGTCGGTTGAACAACTCCCACCATTTCTTAACCGATTTTATCCATTGACGTCTCATTGGAAAGAGCGTGTCGCGTAGATTTGCAAACTGGCCTTACATTTTTGAA